ACACTATATATTTAACGTATTTGCCAATGTTTATCAAACATAATGGGTAAAATGGAAAAAAATCTTTATCCTATATTCACTTTCATGGAATAGATGCCAATACCTTAGAAATCATCTAGAAGGCTAGATTTCTGGAGGAACTTGAAATGTTTTCAGGGGACCTTGTGAGGTCAGAACTTTTTTCACAATAGTAGTGAAACATTATATATCTCTGCTGCTGTGCTTGACATTTTCATTGATGGTGCAGTAGCAACGGCAGCTATGGTAGTCAGAATTGTAGGAAGGCCCCAAGGCCCCTGCTTTCTGGTGTGCATACTTCGAAGAGCCCCCTAACCTTGAATGTGGAGGAAATCTGTGAATATGATGGTATATCACTCCCATGCCTAGTTTACTCATCAGTTGACTTTGAGCTAATGAGAAAGGAGATTATTCGTAGGGCCTGATCTAATCAAGTGAACCCTTAAAAGGAACTGGCTTCTTCCTGTTACAAAAGAGATTTGAAGCACAAGGAGCTTAGATGTGTTAGGAAGTTCTCTACTGTTGGCTTTAAAGATGGAGGATAAGAATGTGGGCAATATCTAATTGCTGAGTGGCCCCAGCTGACATCCAGCAAAGACATGAGGACGTCAGTCTTACAACTGCAAGAAAATGCATTCTGCATCAACTATAAGAGGACTCTAAGCTCCAAATGACAATGCAGCCTGGCTGACATCTTGATTTATGCCTACGAGACCCTTAGCATACAGCAGCCAGCCTCCTGACTTATCAGACTTTCAGCTAATACATGGGTGTTATTTTAAGCCACTAAATTTGTAGTAGTTTGTTACACAACAATGCAGTGGCTAAAACAGCTGGCAAGTTGACACAAATCAAGGGTGGGGCACCAAACTGCTTTAGTAATCATCTATTCTCCACATGCATGCATTCACTGGAAAAGATTTCAGTTTCATTTAAGAATCTCCTGGATAAAGGAGTAAAATGTATTCCTTTTATTAAATCTTAAACCTTCAGTACTAGTCATTTCAATATTTTGAACAATGAAATAATATACCGTAAAACACTCTGTTGCATTGAAGTATTAATAATGGTTGTTTCAAGGAAAATAATTTTGTGATTGTTTGAGTTATGATCTAAACTACCTGTTCTTTTTTCATGGAAGACCAATTTTACTTGAAAGAATAACAACTAATGTTATTCAGACTTTGATATTTGGCAGAAATTTTTCTTAAAAATGAATGAAATGAGCTTATCACTTCCAGGGAAACAGCTGACCTTATTTGACCTAACTGGCCAATGATAAAATTCAAGCATTCCTGCAAAAATCAGATTCTTGGATAACTTAAATTGTCTACTGTAAGTTTGACAACCTCTCCATACATGAAGACTTTTTCTTGGCCAGGTGAGGTGGCTCATTCCTGTAATCCCAGCACTTTAGGAGGCTGAGGTGGGAGGATCACTTGAGTACAGGAGTTTGAGACTACAGCGACGTATGATCAAGCCACTGCACTCCAGCTTGGGTGACAGAGAAAGACCCTGTCTCTAAAAAGACTTTTCCTTATGAGATCAGTGGTGTATTAATAAATGTGATTTTTAAAAATATTGTATAAGGAAATGTATCAATATTTGGAAGATCTTCATAGCTTAGTGAACCAATATTTTCTAAATGACCAATGTATGATGTTATGAAATTATGTGAGAGTAAAATATACATTCAAATTGCTAGAAAACCAGTGGATTTTAATGTAACTGAGTATGAAATATTCATTCATATGGTCCCAAATTCTAACTTTTAACTATTCTTTAAGAAACTACTACTTGTGGAGTGTTAGTTTACTATAAAAGAATATTCACAAGTATCTCTTAAAATATTCTTCATTTTTTAGCTTCTCAATTTTTAAACTACCTATCTGTGTGAGGCTGGATATTCTTTATATACTTCAATCCAAACAATGTATTGCAAGAGATGGAATGCAGAAGCATATAGAGGATCCAGTTGTCTTCTGCTGAGGCAGGCAGGAAAGGGACTTAACAAAAATGTAAACCAATGCCATTCTTCTCGTTGATGTTTTTCACCTTTTAGAAACATAATTATTTTCATAAAAATGTTATTTATTTTAACAAGAATGGTCTTATGATTATTTTAAAATAGATAAGTTAATACATATTTCAAAAATTTCTCAGTTTTAATTTTGATTACAGTAAATGTTGATAGAAATAACCTACAGAAACAAAATTCTTTTGGAGCCCTCAGTAACTTTTTTTTTTTTTTTGATACAGAGTCCAACTCCAGGTTGGAGTGCAGTGGCGCGATCTAGGTTCACTGCAACTTCTGCTTCCCGGGTTCAAGCTATTCTTCTGCCTCAGCCTCCCGAGTAGCTGGAATTACAGGCATGCACCACTGTGCCCAGCTAATTTTTGTATTTTTAGTAGAGACGGGGTTTCACCATATTGGCCATGCTGGTCTCGAACTCTAGACCTCGTGATCTGCCTGCCTCAGCTTCCCAAAGTGCTGGGATTACAGGCGTGAGCCACTCTGCCTGTCAGTAATATTTTAAGTATAAAAATAATTTTTTAAAGTATGAAGTATAAAAAGGTCACCAAAAAGCTTGGGAAATGGCATATAGGACAAAATTAGGAAACCTTGGCTCAGAAAGTTTTGGGCCTTCCCTTCCTGTTTTTATGCCACCTGCCAGCCAACTGCTAAACCAATGCCCCACATTAAAAAAAAAAAATGGTTACTACAATATGGATATCAATTACTCTTTTGGTTAGAGTAGCCTAAATTGCCATAAAAATAGCCTCACACAGTTTAATGTATAATGCCTCAAACACAACAAAGTTTATTTCTTGGTTATTTAACAACTGCAGACATTATTCCACACTGTGATTCAGGGTCCTAGGGTCCCACTCTTTGAAAGTTTTGCCATCCCTATTGCTTTGTTGTTATCTGCATCCAGCTGGCAAAAGGTAAAGGTACTCTCACTTCTTTAAAACTTTGCCCTGAAGACACACACATTACTTCTTCTCACATTTTATTGGTGAGAATTAGTCACACGGGCACACCTGGATGGTAGCTATGGAAAGGAAAAATAGATTTTGGTGGATATCTGGCTATCACTGTGATACGGTATATAGAGATTGGCTCAGAATTGGATTTTGGTATGAATCTTGGTTCTACCACTTACCATCTCTGTGGTTTTGTGTAAGTTATTTAATCTGTGAGGTTCTTTCTTCTTTATTGTATGCTTGATACAATAAATAAAGTCCATATCTGTCTTTTCTTCCCACTCTATTCTTCATTTTTCGTATATAGTAGTGAAAAGGAAACACAAAACGTCTTTTTCATGGGGTTTACATGTCAACGGGAGCTTCCGTGTTTGAGATCGTTGTTAAACTTGAATTTCATAGTTTGTGGAAGCCTGAAGTTTCCTCAAGAGTTCTAAAAATTCTTGGGAGGATGACATACTCATGATCTCATCTGCTTTCTAGACTCTTCTTCTTACATGTGTTGCCTTTTTATTCACCATATTGTTATGGAAGCTTGATTCAGCCATTTCATACATTTCCACCGAAACAACTCACCAGACCGAGTGCTTGTGGGTAATGGAGACTTTCCTGAAGACCTTGGTAAGAGTGATAATGCCCATTGCAGAGCAAGAAACTCTGTAACCATTGTGGTCACTTTGGCTTTCAAAATCTTTTTATTAGCTACACAGTCATCTTGGGTTCCTGTTAGGATTTTTTTTCCCACCCAGTGGTCAGCATTCCATATCACTGTTTGGATGTTTTCCCATCCGGTGGCCAGACTCCCATCTCCCACCGTTTGGATATTTCATGAGAATTTACATTCATTTCCTTTTATAATTTAGAGCAGTTCAGCTTTTTTAAGTTCCCACTCCAAAATCTTAAGTTGCTCAGCAGATGAAAGGGCTCTCCTTCTAATTCTCAAACAATATAGTTTTAAGGGGAGGTTATGATTATTAAGTGCAAACAAAAAATCTGTATATGTTTATGTACCCTAGGATCTTAGGCCAAACCAGTGCTGAGGTGATGAATGACTACAGCAAACACTTCCTGAGGGCAGGAACTGTGTCCCCAGGGCCTAGTTCGGTACTTGGCAAATTGTGTTAGACTGGTGCAAAAGTATTTACAGTTCGTGCCAAAAAACCGCAATTACTTTTGCACCAACCTAATAGCATGTAGTAAATATTTTTAGAAGAGAATTACTGAATTGAGAGTGTTTGACGAATGTTCAGATGAATGACCAGCAATTTAATAGTTTATATTTATGCCATGGGGTAGAAAATGACAAAGACTGTTTTCATGCCCGTATTTTCACAGAATTTAGTTGCGGTTGTTATGTTATAAAATAAAAGTATCATTGTACATTTTAGCTATTTTACAAATATGGTTGTGTTCGGGTAATGATTGCAATGAAAAAATCGCTGGTTAAATTTTTCTAAAATTAATAATAGGAGAAAAAACAATGTTGGGAAATGCAGCAGCACAGAAAGGAACACAGGGCGATTGAGAAAGTAAATTAACATTGTATTGAATTCATATTCTTTATAAGCCTCTCTAAAAAGCGATTTTTAAATACTGATCTCTTACAATCCGCACTACACTCCTGGTTGTGAGAAAGTATTTACCCCTCTTACAGATGTGTACCTTGACGCTGACAGTGTGGTTTGCTACCAGGTGCACGTCAAGACGGAGTACTGGAACCCAGCTCTCCTAAATGTAGATCACCCTGCTGTACTTGAAGGCTAGATGCCTCTCTTCTGATTATGCGTGATAAGAAATCAGTAAGAAGAATAAAAGACATGTTTGAGAGCCAACACAAACTTGTCCGAACCCTTTACAATCGATGACCGCAGGGAGCCGCTGAGGAGCTCCGAGGCGGTCGATCGCCTCCGCGAGCTTTGCGTGCGCGTGTCCCGGGAAGGCAACGTCCACCGCGCGCCGCCAGCGACGCCGCCGTAGCGCTCCGTCGCCATAGCGACTACCCTTGGCAACAGCGAAGCTCTGCGGTCCCGCGGTCGGGCTAGGGGTTTGAGCCAAGCTCCTCTCTTCCCTTCACTTCCCTCCGGACTGGTTTCTTCTTCCTTCCTCCTACCGCCAACTTCCCTCCACCCCTTCCAATCATGGCGAACGGGACTGCGGACGTTCGGAAGCTCTTCATCTTCACTACTACCCAGAATTACTTCGGGCTGATGTCTGAACTCTGGGATCAGCCACTGTTGTGCAACTGTCTTGAAATCAACAACTTCTTGGATGACGGTAACCAGATGCTCCTCAGGGTGCAGCGATCCGACGCCGGAATCTCCTTTTCCAACACGGTACGGTTCCTTGCACTCCTGCCTGACCCCTGACCGCTCTTCAAGTCCCCAGGCCCAGCCAGAGGGATGTCGGGTCACACTCTAGCTTTACCAACCGGATCCTTTTCAGGAACGCAAGGCTGTCTCCACTTCTCCTGCATTATTAGCTTAGCTGCTTTGGCCTCGTGCTTAAGCATATAGTTTCCAAGCTTTGCATCCTACCTGACCAAAGCAGGTTTCCCTTCCACACATCTGAATAGAAGCAATTAGATTGTATTTTATTTTAAATTTTTATACGGAGTCTTACTCTGTCGCTTAGGCTGAAGTGTAGTGGCGCGATCTCTGCTCACTGCATCCTCCGCCTCCTGGGTTCAAGCGATTCTTGTGCCTCAGCCTCCCAAGTAGCAGGCGCGCGCCACCACGCCTGGCTAATTTTTGTGTTTTCAGTAGAGACGGGGGTTTCACCACGTTGGCCAGGCTGGTCTCCATTTCCTGACCTCAAGTGATCCGCCCTCCTCGGCCTCCCAAAGTGCTGGGATTACAAGCAGGAGCCACCGCGCCTGGCCTATATTCTACTTTTTAAGAAAGACTACAGATACGTTATAACTAAAAGGAAAACATTTACTTAGTTATTTTTATTTTATCTCTCTCCCCCTTTTGAGGTTTTTTTTGAGGCAAGTTCTAGTCTATCTTTTTTGGATCAGGCTCTGCTTTTAACATTGCCCAAGGGAAAGATTAGTTAGGAATTTAAATTTTTGCGAAATGATATATTTCAAAATAAAGTTTGAATTTTTTATTGGTGTACAACATGTGATATACTGATTTATTAATTACACTGCCCCCTCCACTGGCAGGATTGCTTAAAAAATGGGTTGCATTTGCAATCAGGGCTTATATATATAAACCTAAAAGAAAAACACAGGAGAAAATTGCCTGGCACAGTAAAGGGGACTCAGTAAATACATTTAAGTTAATAAAACAAAGACATATTTTCAACCTCTTCCTCTTGCGTTCACCCTTATCCCTAGGTCTAGCAGAGTTTTCGACACTCAGCAAAAGCATTCGGTGCCTTTTTTTTTTTTTTTAAGATGAAGTTTCACTCTTATTGCCCAGACTGGAGTGCAATGGTGCAATCTCGGCTCACTGCAACCTCTGCCTCCCGGGTTCAAGCGATTCTCCTGCCTCAGCCTCCCAAGTAGCTGGGATTAAAGGGCATGCACCACCACACCCGGCTAATTTTTTGTATTTAGTAGAAACTGGGTTTCACCATGTGGGTCAGGCTGGTCTTGAACTCCTGACCTCAGGTGATCCACCCACCTTGGCCTCCCAAAGTGCTGGGATTACAGGCGTGCGCCACCGCGCCTGGCTTCAGGGCATTTTTATACGATGATTGAATCATTCAGCCCATTCACTATCTTTATTCTTAGGTTTAATTCGATTGTATTTAATAAACATTTACTTTGAAGTCAATACAGGCAAGGCACTTTGCTAGGCTTGATGAGTTTACAAAGATATAAAAAGGATGGATAATCATAGCTAACATTTATTTTCACTTTAGACTCTGTCAAGCACTGTTCTAAGTACTTTATATGTATTGGTTCATTTAATATCCATAACAACACTGTAAGATAGGAACTATTCTTATTTTATGGCTGAGGAAAGTAAGGGACAAAAGTTACAACCTAAATGTTAACTTTTCTTTTGCTCCAATAGGTAGTGTAATTCAGGGTAGAGCCCCCTGCTTTCTGCCTTTGCCAGACTCACTCTAGTGGCTTAGGATGACATATACTCAGCAAATGATAAAATCAGGACACACTGTTATAAATGCCACTGAAAGTTCAGATAGAATGCAGTAGGAAAGATGGAAAGGGGTTTGGATTTGTGAAACTGTATCTTAGCTTGGGTATTTGAAAGTTGAAGTTAGAACTTTTTTTTTTTAAGTTAAAGCTATTACTAGTACAGCCCAATGATGTATCTGTTATTTTTAGTTGTACACATCGCTACAGGTGTTTAGTCATATTTGAAAATATTTTGTTATGTCTTCAGTTGTACTTTAGATGCCTGATAGTTAGCATGGTTCAATAAGTTAATAAGTCAGCAAATATTTATTGACTACCTACTAGTACTGGGGACAAAACCATGAACACAGAGTCCGTATCTTAAAGGAGTAACATTGGAATGGACAAAGGTAGGCTAAACACATGCTACAGATATATGTAACATCATTTTGGGTATTGATAAGTGCTGTTAAGATAAAAATAATGTTATAGTAGTGATGGGATGGGGTTGGGAACTACAGATATATATAGGGTGGGAGATAATACGTCTCTGGATTAGTTCTCTTTGAAGTGAGATTTGAATGATGAGTTGCAGGCAGACATAATCTGGGGGAAGAGTGTTCTAAGCTAAAGAAACTGTAAGTACCAAGGCCCTGAGCTGGGTTTTAACTTGGTTTCGAGGGGCAAGAAAAAAAATCCAGAGTGGTGGCTGAAGTTTATGGTATGAAGGAACATTATGGTAGATGAGAAGGGTGAATAAGGCATAGGCTGATCATTTAGGACCTTGTACACCATTTAAATTGAAATAGGGAGTTATTGGTAATCTTAAGCAAGAGAGAGCTGTGATCTGGTTTATGCTTTAGGACAGAGGTTCGCAAACTTTTTCTGTAATGGGTCAGATAATATTGCAGGCAACAAGGGCTCCATTGCAGCTACAACTTGGCCTTTGAGTGTGAAAGCAGACATGTAATCAACTTTGTAATAATACATGTAATTGAATGGGAATGGCTATGTTCTAACAAAACTTTATGGACACCGACGTGGATTTTCATATACTTTTCGTGTGTCATGAAATATTATAAGAGTTTGAGCAGTAACAGAAAGTTTCAGCTCCTTTCTAGCAGTCAAAAATGTACTTTTTTGGATAGAAAAAAGCGGCGTGAGACCCATAGCTGTTCTTCATACACAGCAGTGACCTTGTTTGAAAGCTTTTTAATTCGTAGACTTCTTTTCTTGAAAAAAGAAATGAGAAAAACTGAAAATGTGTGTAAAATGCAAAAACTTCCTTTGACTAGTATACTTCTCAGCTAATGAACTAATTACTGTGAACTGACCTATTTTAAACAAGGTTGCTGTAATGAATTCCAATTGAGTTCACCTGGTTCTGATTTAAAATAATCTAGCTATATGACAATTTAACAAAAAAGTTTTATGCTCTTAACTCTTTAAGGAAAAATTTTCAGTTAAGATAAAGTTAATTTTAGGAGATAGACAACTTAAATTCATTTTGGTAGTTTTGAGTGCCTGTATACTTTTAAAAGCACCTTTTAAAATGCTTTTTCTAGGTAAGGAGGTAATTAACATTTTGTTATAGACTTTCTGGGTTACTAGAGAAGTACACTATTCATTGTGTACCTGGAGCATACAGCTTTCATCTGTACTATTACTGATTCTGGCTGGAATGGAATCTGGCTGGAATGGAATCTGGCTGGAATGGAATCTGACTGGAATGGAATAGTTAGCTGTCAATAATGTATATATTGTTTTATGTTTATAAATAATTTATGATCGAACATAAGTGGGAATAGGTTTTTAAACTGAAGTATTCTTAAGGAGAGAAGAGATAAATTGGTTTTAATGTATTTATTTTTAAAGTAACTATTTTTTTCCAAGAGGTATAATTATAGTGATACAACTTTGTATACATTTTTTTCAAATATTAAATTTTATGACAATAACATTAAAAATCATTTGTCACTTTAGATTGAGTTTGGTGACACCAAAGATAAAGTGCTGGTGTTTTTCAAGCTGCGACCTGAAGTAATTACCGATGAGAATCTACATGATAACATTCTTGTTTCATCTATGTTAGAGTCACCTATTAGTTCTCTTTACCAAGCAGTACGGCAAGTATTCGCACCAATGTTGTTAAAGGTGAGAAAAGTAGCTGTCATTTTTTTTTTAACTGAGGTATTTGGAGAAATGTTTTCATATAAACATAAATATCTATTTTTACTGTTAATGTTATTAGTGTTTCAATTTTAATTAAAATTTCTTAACTTTTTTTAAACTTAAATTTTAATGTAAGTTGTGGTAAAAAATAGAGAAATTGGAGAAAGGTATAAAATGCAATCCACATCAACTCTTAACATTTCTACATTAGATGCTTTTCATAGTTTTAACTGTTGAGAGGACTTTTTATTCTTATGAAGTGGAGGTAGTGGCAGGCTTTAAGAAAAATGGGTTTTTGGACAGTGTTTTGGGAAGCCAATTTGATTAGCAAAATTTTGATCAATCTTGGTTGCACTTGTCTGTTTTTGTTTAGGATCAGGAATGGAGCAGAAATTTTGATCCCAAACTGCAGAATCTTTTGAGTGAACTAGAAGCTGGGTTGGGTATAGTTCTACGAAGATCAGACACTAACTTAACAAAATTGAAATTTAAGGAAGATGACACACGAGGTATTCACCATAGCTTAATAAAAGAAAGTACAAAATGATTGTCTCATTAGTACATTAGTGAATGAACATATTTCTTTATAGATTTCTTCAAATACTTTTGGAATTTCTCTAAGCATTGGTTTAAAAAAAAAGAGTAGATTTATGTGGATGTAGAGAAGAGGAAAATATAATTGTTAATAATGTGCAATCTAGCTTGAGCCTCCAGAGTAGCTAGAATTACACGTGCATACCACTATCCACTGGCTAATTTATTTTAGTTCTTGTAGAGATGGGGTCTTGGTCTGTTGCCCAGGCTGGTGTCAAACTGCTGGCCTCAAGGGATCCTCACTACTAGGCCTCCCAAAGTGCCAAGGCAGTAGTTATGTTCTATAAAGTCACTGTAAACACTGAGTTAGTGAATATTGAACCTTTGTTCCTAGGAGCAGTACAGGGTGAGATTCCTTTGAGCCCCTGGTCACAACATCTCATCAACTGATCAATACATAACCTTATTTTTTTTTTTTCTCTTTAAAGACACTTTAATTCATATATATTGTTGATTCATTAACATTGACTTCATGGCTAACAGCACTGTAACTCACGCCTGAATGAAGCTTAACGAACATATATTTTTTCTGTAAGGCACATTACAACCTTCTTGTGATTTGGAACACTAGACAGCAATTTAGCACTTTTTTGGGGGGCCATTTTAAACTGAATCACTAACAAAAAGAACATAGATCTGAAAAATGTGGCACTAAGTAGACTGCAGGAAGGACACTTGTTTATAGTATGAAATAGGAAACAATAAGGAAGTGTCACCTGTTTGACCTCAGCTAGGAGCATATGTGTTAGATGACTCAAATATTTTGCTGCTGTGCTGTTTTGTATTCATTTTTTTTTTCTCTGATATTCTATACCATTTTTTTTCCCCCTCTTGACTTTTACAGGTATCCTTACACCAAGTGATGAATTCCAGTTTTGGATAGAACAAGCTCACCGTGGAAATAAACAGATTAGTAAAGAAAGAGCCAATTATTTTAAAGAATTATTTGAAACAATTGCAAGAGTATGTGATTCATACATGGTTATATATTGGGCTTCTTATAAAAGTACTTTAGGATTCAATTTTTACAGCCTCTCCTCTGTTTTAAAATCTACTTGACGATTGTGAACAAAATAGATTGTATGTAGAAAAGTTTAAGTTGTATATGTAAAATGAATTGAGAAATCCAAAACTTAGTCAAATTCTAATCTCTATAAAATCTTTTTCTCAATAACGAAATTACGCCTGGGCATCGTGGCTCCCACCTGTAATCCCAGCACTTTGGGAAGCTGAGGTGGGCGGATCACTTGAGGTCAGGAGTTCGAGACCAGCCTGGCCAACACAGTGAAATCCCGTCTCTACTAAAAATACAAAAATTAGCCGGGAGTGGTGGTGAGCGCCTGTAATCCTAGCTACTCGGGAGGCTGAGGCAGGATAATCGCCTGAACCTGGGAGGTAGAGGTTGCAGTGAGCGGAGATTGTGCCATTGCACTCCAGCCTGGACGACAGTGTGAGACTCCATCTCAAAAAAAACCCAAAAAGCAAAAAAACCCCAAAATTACTTTTCTGCAGGTACATAGTGAAAAACAAATATAACAGGTTTATCCATGTACAGGTAACATGTTCTTTTGAATGGGTGTTCACTTTGTTCAAATTAGCATTTTGAAGTAATCTGAAATATAAAAAATCTTAGTTTTATGCTTATTTAATTGATTATTCCTTTATGTGTCTACATTGAAATTGAGTAACCATTTTAAGTATGAACATAAAAAGTCTATTCTTTTCAAAACAAATATATATTAATTTTCTACTCCTTTCCACTGTTATTTCCATAATATTTTAATAGAGTGTTTTAAATGGTTTTAAGCTTTTTTGGGTAACAGTGATGAAAATAGCATGATAAATCTTGACTGTGGTTGTGTGATTAAACATAATATTGTGAATTAATAATGAATGAATAAAGACATGTGAACTACAGTGGGTAGTGCATACGTGGAGTTGAGATCACCTTTATTGGGTAACTTTTAAAAAATCAAAATTTAAAGAAAATTAGGCCAATTGTGTACATGAATGAGTAGACTTTTTACAATTTTTATATTTTGTCTTTTCATGACATTTATGTTTGGGGGGAAATTATAGGGTATTTGGATAGAAGTAGTTATCAGCTGTTAGAAAAAGGAGGAGAAAATAATATGGCAAATGTTAGACTTGTGGCAGTTGAAAAGGCCTGGGAACATTTTGATTATATTACCCAAGGTACAAATATAATTATGTTTAAAAATTAGTGCACTTTTGTTCTAGGAGTTTTATAACTTGGACAGTCTATCCTTACTAGAAGTTGTCGACTTGGTGGAGACTACTCAGGATGTTGTAGATGATGTGTGGAGACAAACAGAACATGATCATTATCCTGAGTCACGAATGTTGCATCTCTTAGACATCATAGGTACTAGTAAAAAAACGAACTTTTGGAATTTCGAAAACCTGTCTTATTTTGTTTACTTTTTGTCATTTAAGTCCTTACTTAAAATGCTCCTTTATGTAATACTGTAATTGAGAGTAAGTCTTAAAGCAAATAATGTAGAATTATTTAAATAGATATTTGTATATAGTTGGGTAGTATAAATCATGTGTCAAATTCTTGGAACCATTAATATAACCAAATTTATATAGATTTTTAGTATCTATGCATATATTTAGGCTACTTTGAAATAAACTGAAAAATAAAGTATATAGGCTTATTTGTTAATATTAAATATTTTGACCTCGAAAATACCCTTGCCATTATTTTCATAAGGAAATATCAGATAAGTACATAAAGTTATATGTACAAATATATTTATTGCAGCATTGTTTGTGGTAAGTAGAAGTAAATAGCAATTAAGGATTATTTACAAAATGCAGTATCCATACAGTAGTCTCTGCAGCCTTGAGGAAATTGTATATATATTTCTATACTTAAAAGGTATAATGGTATATTGAAAATTGAAAGATGCAAAAATGCAAAGCAATATGTGTGTGTGATCTTAAAAATATTTGTGACTGAGAGTGGTAGTCTAAGGGTGTGCGTGTGATATTTCATAGATCCTTAGTTTGTTAATTTGTATATTTTTAAAATATTGTCATAAGCATGTATTTTATAATTATTCTGTAAAAATACATTTATTTCCATTAAACTCTTTGTTTTCTGTTTTATTAGGTGGTTCATTTGGAAGGTTTGTTCAGAAAAAGTTGGGAACTTTGAACCTATGGAAAGATCCTTATCATCTTGTGAAAGAAAATCTGAAAGCGGGCATTTCAATTTGTGAACAGTGGGTGATAGTCTGTAATCATCTAACAGGTCAGGTGTGGCAGCGCTATGTTCCTCATCCGTGGAAAAATGAAAAATATTTTCCAGAAACACTTGACAAACTTGGCAAACGCCTTGAAGAGGTATCACTTTCATTATCTAGATCTTTGTCTTTAAATGTAAAGTATGTCTGCACTTGTTTGTAAATGTATTTTATAATCAATAAGCCCTATACATCTGCTGGAAATTAGTTTTGTGAGAGAATAGGAATTAAAGTTCTTGTTGGGGCCAATTTCCACATCCTTTCTTTTTATTTGGTATGAGACTGGTCAACTTGATAGTTGTGAGCTTATATTTTGTTCTTTATTGTAAAAAGATAATCAGCCCACTTGACCATGTATGGAAGCTTTCAGGGCATCTTTTGGCTATTGCAATTGTTTTTAAGTTGGAACAACTTTTTAAGTGGTATTCAGTGGAAATATTTGAAACAATTGCTTAATTTACACAAGTTACGACTTTCAGTAAAGAACATATATTTAGCTTACAGGGACAGGCAAAATGAGATTACTTAAAGATTGTGAAACTGACCATTCCTGCCTTGCTTAGAAGAACTATAGTTCTTTATTGGAGACTTAAAAAAAAAAAAAAAAAAAAGCTTTTTAAAGATGAAATATTTGAAACGTATTAAAAAGTGAAACAGTATAATGACTGTCCAGGTATCCACCATTCAATTTTAATAGTCTTTGACATTATTCAGTTCTTGTCTTATCTTTGTTTTTCCCTGCCTTTCCCCTAACCTTTTTTTTTTTACTGGAATATTTTTAAAGCAGAGATATTATATACTTCCACCCTTAAAACATAACCACAATGCCATTATCACAGCCAACAAAATGACAATAATTTCTTCGTATGTTTTTATATCTGGCCAGCATGTATTTATCCTGATTTTCTCAGAAATTTGTAAATAGTTGGTTTACTTGAATGAGGTTGCAAACAAGGTGCACCCATTGTATTTGGTTGATAGGTCTCCTGAGACATTTTTAATTTAAAAGTTTCCCCCCTTTTATGCCATATAGCGTTTCTCACCTTGCTATATCAGGATGTATGTGGTATCAGGTTTTCCCATTTTTAGTGACATGAAGTTTGATCTGTGAGGGTTCAGGTATGATCAATCTGATGAATTCATTATAATGCTTTCCAACTTTTAAAAAATGCTTTTAGCAGTCATTAATCATGAAGAGTTACAAAATGGTGATTTTCTAATTCTGGTGTTCTTTCTGCTTTTATTAGTCATGACTTTTCTATAAGAAGAATTTTTTCTTCAACTTTTTAGTTACTTTGAAATATAGTTTGCATAGAAATGGCAGTATAGATAATTGCTTATTTCTTTTGATCACTTTTTAGAACAATGAACATTAAGTAGATTAGTGTCATAGTAAGTTCCATTGGTAACCAATGAAATGTTTTTTGATAGTGTCATTATGAACCCATGAATTTTTTTATTTTATGTGTTTCAGTCTATTCTGCTTATTATTATTATTATTACACTCAAATTGTTCAGTTTTTGGGCAGAGAGTGCCCCTTCAAGTTGCCTCTTATGCCATTTTGACATGACTTCAGTGTTTCTTTCTTTCCATTTTTTTTGAGATGGAGTCTTGCTATGTTGCCCAGGTTAGAGTACAATGAGATGACCTTGGCTCACTGCAATCTCTGCCTCCCAGGATCAAGCAGTTCTCCTGTCTCAGCCTCCTGAGTAGCTGGGACTACAGGTGCATGCCACCACACCTGGCTAATTTTTGTATTTTTAGTAGAGATGGAGTTTTCGCCATATTGGCCAGGCTGGTCTTGAACTCCTGACCTCAGGTCATCCGCCCACCTCGGCCTCTCAAAGTGCTGTGATTACAGGCGTGAGCCACCACACCTGGCCAACTTCAGTATTTCTTTGATAGCTTTCAAGCCCCCAAAAGTGTTCCAGTCCAGCCCATGTTGTACATTTTATATCTCATACCTGGAATTAGTAATTTTTTTCAAGGAGCCTGATTCTTTTTTGGGGATATTTAACAACAATCTGTAGGGGAAGGGCTGTTACTTAGTTATCAATGCTGTTAGGCATTCTCAGTAGACAAAACTGCTAATAGGTAAATTTTTAGCAAGAGAAAAATAAATCATGAGTTTATACTGAGATTTACAACTCAAATAGAAGGAATTGTTTTCACTTAACCTTTTTGATTACCTTTTGATTGTTGGTGGAAATTTTTAGCTCAAAATACAGTATGTGTATCCCAGCTGTTTGTAAATAATAAAAAATAGGGCTGTTAACATGTCATTTCATTATTAGAAGTGCAATTTAATGCAGAATAATGAAAATCAGAAGTTATTACTATATTAAGGGTAGGCTCTAAAAATTTACTTAAATGAGCTGTAAATATAGTTTAAACAGTTTTTTAAACTGTGTTAAACTTTAAACATAGTTTAAAATATTTAGGTCTTATATATATTCACGAGATTTGAGCACACTTATTAATGTTAGTGTGATGAAACAGTTATGTTTTTGAGCATCACTTTGTTGTTGTCACCTGTCAGTTCTCTGGATTAGAGTTTCAGTTTTATTTTATTTTATTTTTTTAGTGAACCTAATTTAGAGAAATTCTTGCCCAATATATCTAGATTTTAGACCTATTTATGCAAATGGTTTGATTTAAATAAATTCTGTTTTTTTAATACTTTGTTTTAGGTCTTGGCTGTTAGAACAATTCATGAGAAGCTTCTCTATTTTTTACCTGCCAGTGAAGAGAAAATCATATGCCTCACTCGAGTATTTGAACCTTTTACTGGCCTAAATCCTGTGCAATATAATCCATATACTGAGGTTGTATATATATTTGTTTATGTCTATATAGTTTACTGAATATGTTGTTCTTTTTAAAGACAGATTTAAAAAATACTAAAGTCTAACAATGTTGTTAATGTGTGTAGCCCTTGTGGAAAGCTGCAGTGTCTCAATATGAAAAGATTATTGCACCTGCGGAACAAAAAATAGCAGGAAAATTGAAAAGTTATATTTCAGAAATTCAAGACAGTCCACAGCAGGTAAAACATTGAGATATTTCACTTTTAATATTTCTCTTAAGCTATTTAGGATATATATATATATATATTTACTGAGTTGATCTGTTAGGATGAATGTATACTTATTTTATTTTATATTAGCTTCTTCAAGCATTCTTGAAATATAAAGAGTTGGTAAAGCGTCCAACTATAAGCAAAGAATTGATATTAGAAAGAGAAACTTTACTGGCAAGACTTGTGGACTCAATTAAAGGTAAAAGTTTATAAGATTATAGTGTTTGCTTGAGAGAATAATTTTGTATATTACTGTTTTCTTTGTTGCATACCATTTAGGATTAAAGATGCATTTTTCTGACATTTTCATGTGGACGATTAATTTACTTATTCTGTTATAAATGACAGTTTTTTTGCATTAACAAGTTATTATCTTTCTCTGTTTCATTTGATACGTGGTGCAGTCCTTGGGGGGTAAGGACCAACTCATTATTTTTCTATCTATAGCATTTGACATAGTGCTTGGTACATGGAAGTTATTTAGGAAATCTTTGATAATTCTTTGTAATCATTTATTTGATTTAAATTTTATAGATTTTCGATCAGACTTTGAGACTCGGTGCCGAGGAATTCCTGGTGATGCATCTGGACCACTTTCTGGCAAAAATCTTTCAGAAGTTGTCAACAATATAGTTTGGGTTCGCCAGTTGGAATTGAAGGTATTTATTTTAATAAAAAGATGAAGAGTACTAATTATAAAATCTGCTAAATTAAGGCATGTAGAAGGTACTCTAGAGTTGTAGTAAATATATTTTCTGTTTTCCTTGGCACAGCCATCTAATTTTCATACAAAATGCCGAACACTGAACAAGTATGCAGAGAAGTTTTAATGGTTCTATTCCTTCTTTCTGTAGAGATAGTACATCATTTATTCCAATTGCAGTTGTTCCAAAGAAATACCTGTATTCAGGAGGAAAGCATCCTTTACACTGAGTAAAAAAAAGAAAAATCATTGTTTACAAAAATGAGCTGGATGTGGTGGTGCCCGTCTGTAGTCCCAGCTACTTAGGAGACTGAGGTGGGAGGATCACCTGAGCCTGGGATATTGAGGCTGCAGTGAGCCATAATTGTGCCACAGCACTCCGTGGTGGATGACAGAAAGAGATGCTATCTCAAAAAAAAAATTATTGTAAAATTTTAGTAGTTGCAAAGTCTTACCTGCAAGTATGTTTATGTAACTAAATCACTTTAGGTTGAAAGGAAGTTAAAGGAAAGGTAAAAGGTATGGTCTAAGGTAGTGACAGCAATTTATAGATTTAAACGATTATTATTTTAATACTATTAAAATTGACCTAAGACTCTTATGGATTACTAACTAGTATGTGGTCCAGTGTCTTGCATTAGATTTGTACAATAAATGTTAATTGATTATAGTCTGTGAGTAAGGGCAAGACCTCATGGAATATTACAAAAGCCGGCATATTCGACATTTCTGCTTATTCAGGTTTGTATTTTTGATGTTTTATTTTCTGATATATTCTGCCTAATGATTCTGTCAGTCAGTTTTCCAGGGTGCTGTAATGTTCTCCATACAGTTGTGGAGGAAAGGCATTTATGTCTCTTAATTGACATTCTCATTGGCCTAATTACCATTTGAGCTGTTAATCGGAGCATGTTGCTAAGGGCTGAAATTATTACTGAACATGTTTAGGAGTAATGCTGAAGTTCCCAGAGCTTCCTCTGAAAAATCACTGGGGCACAGATATTTTGAGGGCTGACTTTCCCTTTACCGTCCATTTTATTCTTGGAGTTATGCCTTGTATGGGTTATCCTCTTGTGTTTGCTATTCTGCGGCTGTGTAATTCAGAAGCAAAGTAGGGGTTGATATTTTTATATTCTTTGGTAAATCTTCTGTTTCACTGTTTGTAGATGAAAAGGGAAATAATTTCTGAATCACAAATCAGAGAAGGGGACTCCTTACTTTATGCTAATTTTTTGGAATTTAAATAACGCACACATCTTTGTAATCTGACTTTTTAAGGTCGATGATACTATCAAGATTGCAGAGGCTCTTTTATCTGACTTGTCAGGATTTCGATGTTTCCATCGAAATGCTGAAGATCTCTTAGACCAGCTTAAACTATATGAACAAGAACAGTTTGATGATTGGTCCAGGGATATTCAATCAGGTTTATCTGATTCCAGATCTGGTTTGTGGTAAGTATAGATGTATTAAACTGTAAAATCCAAAACCATATGTTATTAATTCAAATACCCAGATGGAATTAATTATCTTTTTCCTTTTTCCAAACTTGCTACTCCTCTTCTAATTTTTTTTTTTTTTTGTTTTAGATCATCAACTTTTAATTCATTAAGGCTGGAAACTTTGATAATTTAGTTAACTGCCTCCCTCTTGTTTCTCTTGTCTGTTCCCCAGAATTAGGGATTCCCATTTTAGAATTAGCCCTTCCCTCATGCTTTTTTGTTATTGGTATTTATATATGTTTTTCTACCTTTTTACATTAATATTATACACACACACATACACTTTAAACAATGTTGCAGTTTTGTAAAATTGTATTATTTTTAAACTCCTTGAGACAGGGAGTATTTCTTCATGGTGCCCCACATAATAAGGCTTTGGTAAATATTTGTTGAGCTATATTGAATGTATTAATGAGTTAACCTTATTAATTCTAATGGGGATTTAAAATGGATAGTTTAAAAAAGTCAGTTTCTTTGTACCTCAGGTCCACTGTCTCCAGCATATTATTGTGGTTATTTTTAGAAACTCGTCATGTCTTTTTAAAAGTAACTTTGTCCATAAATGAAGTTTTCATTTTCCCTATACTGCTACAAAGGATAATTAGGCCAAAAATAGTACCTCTTAAATTGAATAATTCTTTTAAAGTCTAGAATTCTGGCTCTGGAGAGAAAATAGAGGAAACTGAAGGGTGTTAGAGCATAATGATTATAATTTTATGCCATTTAGTTCTTTCTCCTTCTACTTTGAGCCTAAAACATGAGAGATACTCCAAACAAGAAAAACAAAAAACAAACAAACAAAAACCACAGTGCTTTAGTCAGCTAATTTTGGAAAATTTGCATACTTCATCATTAGAGCTTCAGCGGAGGTCCACTAGCATGGTAGCATACCAATGGTCTGAAATCTGCTGTTAATAAGTTTGTTTAACTTTGTTCCTTCCACACAGCGTTTCTCATTTGGTTTTGAAACCCCCCTCCTCCTGCCTTTGTTTTTTCTTTTTTAGACCTATTTGTTGTCCCATAGAATCATCAATCTGTTTTTGGAAATATTTTGGGAAATGCTGGTATATACAAACTAACTTTGAAGATCAATCCTGAATAAAGGCAAAAAGAGTCACCATAATAGTTTACTGGCATGCTTTATGTGTATATAGGAAAATTTGGGCTAAATCATCATTTTAAGCCATTTTAAAGTATTCTACTTTTTATTATATTTTGTTTTATATGCTATTAAATAAGCTGAATACTTTTGTTCTTTGTTTTTGAGTAGATTACCTTCTAATACCTGCAATTTTTCTTAATTGTGAGGGTGTTTTGAAATAATGAGGCTGGGTGTGATGGCTCATGCCTGTAATCCCAGTACTTTGGGAGGCCGAGGTGGGAGGATCACTTAAACCCAGCAGTTTGAGGCCAGCCTGAGCAACATGGCGAAATCCTGTCTCTACAAAAGACAAAAAAAAATTAGCTGAACATAGTGACTTGCCTGTTGTCCCAGTTACTTAGGAGACTGAGATGGGAGGAATCTTTGAGCTCAGGGAGTTCAAGGCTGTAGTGAGCCATGATTGCTTTACTGCATTCCAGACTGGGTGTTGGAGCAAGACCCTGTCTCAAAAAAAAAAAAAAAAGAAAAAAGAAAAAAAGAAACAGGCATTATATAAACCTAATCCTAAAGGAAGGTGATGAAAGCATAATACCTGTTGCTGGACTTAGTTCAGCATTTTTGCAATCCATTCTGATTTGAGCTCCCCAAAGTAACATTTGCTATTATAGCCTTTACAAGAAACACACAAAAAGGACAATTACTAGAGAGTGAAACAAAGGGTAGAAGAATGAAACGTTTTAATATCTCTACTCCTACCATTTTGATATTATTTATCTTTTAATAAAAGTACTAAAGACGCAAGTTATGCTGATTTTTTAAAACAATTGAAGGTATCTTTAGAAAATGAATCAAAATTTTTTCTTTATCGTGGGTATGATGTCAATTTTGAGTTTTAGCTGAAACATTAAGAAATCGATTTTTCTTACTTTAAAACTGCTTGGTTGAAATATTAATGTGATGATATAGTTTGGATATTGCAGTTTGTTTCCAAAGTCTGACTTGTGAAATAATGTATAGAAAAAACCCACAACTTAAAAGCTATAATAAAAATTTTTTTTAACTTTGAGCTAATATTAGATGTACAGAAAAGTTGTAAAAACTATTGTGTTTATTAGTCAAAACAGTGAGAACATGAAACTTAACAGGTTATTTATTTTGTTTTGTAGTATTGAGGCTAGTAGTCGAATTATGGAATTGGATTCTAATGATGGATCACTAAAAGTGCATTATTCAGATCGTTTGGTGATTCTTCTGAGAGAAGTTCGTCAGCTCTCTGCACTTGGCTTTGTTATTCCTGCCAAAATACAGCAAGTTGCAAACATTGCGCAGAAATTCTGCAAGCAAGCAATTATTCTTAAACAAGTATGAAATTATATTTTTTGAATACCTACCTATTTGGAGTTCATTACATTAGACTAGAATATGCTAAAGTTTTTTTTTTTTTTTTTTTTAAAAGGCTAATAGAATAGCACTGCCAGCTGTGAAATTATGGTTTACTAAATGAGTCTGTTACAAAACTTGCTTTGTAACCTATAAGGAATTTATTAAATTGTTATTGTTTATTGCTTTTCACTCTAAAAAGCATTTGAAAAATAGTATGTTATTCTTCCTTCTTTTGTTTCATGTTACTTGCATAGGTTTTAAAGGACCTTCTAATTAAGGAGTCCTCTGCCTGCCTTCTAGGGGCAGAGTCATAAAGAATTATCAGGTTGATGAATGGTTTCTGTTTCTAGTCATTTTCTCAGTGACATCGCCATCATGTCACTTGCCTAAAAATCAGCTATTATCAGCTCACGGTGTATCTTCATAACATGGCATACAAGGCCCTTCTTAATCATGACCCTACTAAACTGACTGGTTTTTGCCTTTACTACCTATGCACTTCCCTGTCATACTGTACCCTATGCTTCAGTAATATAAAACTTTGCTTTTATCTGAACATATCTCCATGCATTTAAATCTGTTCTCTGATTGGAAAACTCAGTGTGATTGTTTAATTTCCAATTCACAAGTCACTGTCTCTGTTGTGTCTTTCTTTAGTTGATTTTTATTCTTTGGGCAGTGTGAAAATTACTATTATAATACTTCTCATATTGTATCTGATTTTTTTTCATCTTTTCTTTGACTTTATTATTGTATTTTAGATGGCAGGAACAGTATCTTGTATATTTGGTCTTTCATTTATTCTTTTACTCAACAAAGATTCATTGAGGATCTACCCTGTCATGCATAGTGTAGTGAGGATACAAAAATGAATACTGTCATAGTCAGGCACGGAATTTCTTAGCCTCTTTACTTTTGATAGTTTGGATCAATTCTTTTTTTAGGGGGCTGTGCTTTGCTTTATATGCTTTTTATTGGCATTCTTGTCCTGCACCTAGTATATCCAATAGCATCTGCTTAGTGCTGCCAATCAAAAATATCTCTTAACATTGCCAAATGTTCCGCTGAGGTATACTCTGCTTTGGTTGAGAATCACTGGTCTAGTGGGAGAGAGCAAACTAAACATCGAGTGCTCATTAAATATCAGGCCTTGTGGTAGATGCTTTAATTATGTTATTTTTAGTTAATTCCCCATTGTACCACTGATCTAATTGGGGATCAGATGTTTAACAAAGTTTTCCCAGTGCCACATAGAGAGTAAGTTATGAAGCTGGGATTTGATATCAAGTTTCTCTGACTCTAGAGCCCATATTTGTTTCATTTCAATATAGTGATGGACAAGTAGATCAATATTTAATGTATTATAAGTACTATATTACAGATGTTCAGGAAGTCTTGTGAAAGCATAGAGGCAGGGAGTTTCAATTCTTTTCCTATGTAGGGATAGAAGTAGTAGCAGGTAAGTCTTTTCAGAGGAATGATTGATGTGAGTCTGGAAGAGTGTACATACATTTTTCTCAAGTACACAGAGGATTGGGTGATCATTTCAGTCGGAGCGACTCCTTAAAAGCAGAGAGGCTTACTTACTTTAATACGGTAAGTATTTAGTCTTACACAATACGAGCTCAAAAAATGAATGGTAATAGGTATTTGTACTTACCCTGGAAGAACACCTGGGAAAATCTATTTATATATTCCTTTATTTCTGAGCAGATATTTAGCTGGAATAGGGTGTATAAAGTAGAATGTTGGATAGATAGCAGTATGGCCAGATTGTAATAGAATACATACTATTCTATTGCTTCTTGTTTTCCTGATTGTTCTTTTTCTGGGCCTATTTTTGTGGTACAGAATAAGTAGAGTGGGTTTTCCCCACCAAATAAAGTATATTTTTATATGTATTAGTGGAAAGAAGAGGATCTCTATAAAATTAGTTAAGAAATATTTTTTAAGCATCTACTATGTGCCAAGAATTTTGTGAGGTGCTGGGGACATAAAAATTAATAGTCTCCTTGAACGCCTTAGACTTAAATGCCCAGGGTGTCCACTTGATCTTATTCCCTGAACCTCTCCTTTTTCCACCAGTGCAGTTGACAGTGGCCTTCTTTGTCCACCACTGTTCTTTGTAGGATCTCTATTTATTAATTCAACAAGTGTTTATTGAGTGCTTGCTGTTTGCTTGGCTCTGTTCTTAGAGCTGTCATTCCAGTAGGAGAGACAGATAGCAAACACCTAAATATATAATGCAATGTTAGGCAGTGATAGTGATAAATGCCTTGAAGAAGAATAAAACAGAATAAAGATATTGTGACAAACACTGCTATTTTATACTGACTGGTCAGGTTAGGTATGCCTTGATGGAGAGAGAATGTTTGAGAAGAGACATGACATAAAGTAGGCAAAAGAACCATGCAAATGTCTAGAGGAAGACTATTCCAGGGAGAGGGAATGGCAGATGTAGAATTCTAGAAGGAAGCCTCACTTGTTAGGTGAGAATAATAGTAAAGAGGCCAGTTTGGCTCATTCTTTAGTATATTGGGAGACAATTGGAAAGTTTTTAGGTGATAGTTTTGGGATTTTGGGGTTTTATTCTCAAGCGTTTTGGGAAGTCATTAGGTTTTGTGTAGGCAAGAGGTGTGATATATGTTTAAAAAAGACCACTCTGGCTGCTTTAAATAGACTATAAGAGGCCATGATTGGAAGCAGAGAGACCAGTTAGGAAGTCTGTTGCGCTGGTCTTGCCGAGAGATGGGAGTGTGTGGATTGGGATGCAATTGATGGGGGTTGGGGAAAGTGGTTGGATTCAAGATATATTTTGAGAGTATAGGCAATAGGCTTTTGCTGATGTGGAATATGAGAGAAGCATTAAGGACATCTCGAAGAATTTTTGGTCTGAGACGTGAATAAATTATTGTGGCATATACTGAGAAAAGAAGGAGTGGATTTGGAGAAGTGCAGGAATTAAGAATTTAGTTTCTTAGCACTTAACATGCTTCACTGAGTTCCTTCTTTCCTATGAGATTTTGAACTTCTTGATTCCAGGAACAAAGTTTTATAATCTATGTTTAATCAGACCTCAGGACATGATTGGCAGATTGTAGGAACTCAACACTTACTTGTTGATTGTGTATATTAATATATGAACAAATGCCCTATTGTAGATTAAAAACCTATTTTCTGTTTAAATTTTAGGATTGAGAAAATATTTTCATTCAAACAATTAAAAATCAAGAAAAATTAAAAATGAAGTTATTAATTATTATGAATTGGACTTTTACTTTGTAGGTGGCACATTTTTATAATTCTATTGATCAACAAATGATTCAAAGTCAGAGGCCGATGATGTTACAATCTGCCTTAGCATTTGAACAGATAATTAAGGTAAATGAACTTTTAATTTTATTATAATTAGATTTTACATGTGAAGTGTTTAATTCTTAATTTTCTGGTGTTCCCTTCAGCTTAACATAGCAAATGATCTAGATTTTGTTTCGCTTCCAGGGACTTCCTTCACTCTTAACAAGTAAAACTTTTTCTCCAGCTGTACATTGAAGTGGTTAGAATACTTAATATACTTTGGTACTGATTTTGATCAATTGCATTGATATAGATAGAATATGATTTGCATGATGTTATATTCATTTATTCTCTGAAGTTTGAGGTCCTTATACACAAGGTTCCTTAGACCTTTTCTACCATCTCCCAATTTTGTAATGTAAGACTTACTTGCTTTTATTTGTGGTTATTTAAATGTCTATATATAAGAAATTAGGAGGCTGGGCACACTGACTCACGCCTGTCATCCCAGCACTTCGGGAGGCCAAGGTGGGTGGGTCACCTGAGGTTAGGGGTTTGAGTGAAAACAACATGGTAAAACCCCATCTCAACTAAAAATACAAAAAAATTAGCCAGGCGTGGTGGTGGGTGCCTGTAACCCAGCTATTCGGGAGGCTGAGGTGGGTAGATCACCTGAGGTCAGGGGTTTGAGACCAGCCTGGCCAACATGGTGAAACCCATCTCAACTAAAAATATAAAAAAATTAGCCTGGCATGGTGGTGGGTGCCTGTAATCCCAGCTATTCGGGAGGCTGCGGCAGGAGAATTGCTTGAACCCAGGAGGTGGAGGTTGCAGTGGGTTGAGATCACACCACTGCACTCCAGCCTGGGAGACAGAGTGACTCCATCTAAAAAAAAAAAACAAAACAAAACAAAAAAGAGAGAAAAGAAATTAGGAAAACCTATAATAGTGTTTAAACTGAATATTACTATGTGACTACTAACTTTTTGAAGTCTGTATTTTTAGTCTTCATAGACATGAAATGTTTGACAAAAATAGGCAGAAGAGGTATATGCCATTTTTTTTTTCTGTTTGAAAGTGGATAACTAGTTGTGTCAGGGTCCACAGGACCAGCCCAGGTTCTTTTCTTTGCTTGGAGGATCCACAGGACTCAGTGTGTGGTCATACTCATAGCAGTATTTATTACGGTGAATGCATACAAAGCAAAATTAGCAAAGGGAGAGGTGCATGATGGGGTGAAGTCCCAAGAAAACAGGTACAGACTTCTAAGAGTCCTCTCCCAGTGGAGTCACACAGGGTGTACTTATTTTTTGTAGCAACAAATTGCAACACATGTGAAATCTTGTGTTACTGGAGAAGATCATTAGAGACTCAAAACCTAGGTTTTTATCAGGGGTGGTCATGTAGACACTTTCTGTCTAGTATGCACTGAAATTCCAAACTCCCAGAAGGAAAGCAAATATTCAGCATAAACCATGTTATTCAGGTCCAGTGAGCCACTCTTATCAGTTAGAGTGGTAGGAACGCTTCTGAAATCTAAGTTCCCAAATGCCAGCTAAGGGGATTCTTTTAAGCAGGTCTTTGGAAGGATGGTAGTCAGACCTTCTATGTTAACTCTTTTCTGCACACTAGTTCTGAAGCTTAATAATTCTAGAATTTATATTATTCATATTATAGATGTTATTAAAAGCACTTTTTTTCTTGTTGGCAGAGATTAACATGAATTTATAATGCAAAGTTTAAAAACATAGGTAAACAAAAATAAAAAAATGTCGTATAATCATACCATCAAGAAATGACTGTTTAAAAAAGTCTGGTGTATATCCTTTCAAATATTTTTCTATGCATATTTTTGAAAATGTATTCATATTTTTAAAAAGTATGCATAGTTTTGGAAATGGAATCACACTTTATTATTTTTTACCTTTTTTCCCCTAATGTGTAGATCATTTTAGTTGTAAGCCCTTACAACTTTTTCTTCTAATAAATTTGTTTAAAATAACGTCTGTGATATTTCTGAGGAGGAAATTTATTTTGCAAAATTGTGTTGTGAGAAGTAAATAATTATATTTAACATGTTAAATGAGACACAGTAGTGCTTATAAAACTAGGATAGGTGTAGAGAGAACATTAAGGTTCTGTATGATGCGCTGTCTACTTACTATATTGTAGAAAATTAGACTGTAATTTATTTATTTTCATATTTTCAAGCGATAGAACAGTAAGTGGTATATAGTAATTACTCAGTAAATACTTTTTAATTCATCAGCTATTTATCGAGCATCTCCTATAATCCAGAGACTTACTATGCCTTCATTGACCACTTCAAGTGAAGTATAGAAACTTTTCTTCTATATAGATTTCTTCACTCTCTCTACTTTGATATATTTGTCTTAAATATTTTCCCTATATACATTGAAACCACATCAGATGGTGTTATAATTTTTCCCCCAGTCATCAAATATGATTTAAGAAACTCGTGACAAAAGGGATAGCTTATTGTATAGTTATATTTTTTACTTATCCCAATATTCTTTTTTTTTTCTGAAGTTCTGTGCTCCTTTTGGTATTTTTTCTTTCTTTAAAGAACTAACTTCCTTTAGCCATGGTTTAGGATTAGGTGTGCTAGTGACAAATTTGCTTATCTTTCCTTTGTCTGATAATGTTTTCCTGTTTTCCTTTTCACCCATTCCTGAAGGGTATTTTAACTAGATATAAAATGCATATTTGACTTTTTTTTTTTTTTTTTTTTAGCACTTTAAACATTTTCCACTTCCTGCTGGCATCTGTGATTTCAGCTGACAAACTATTGTCATTCGAATTTGTATTCCTTTCTGAATAATGCATTGTTTCTCTTTGGCTCCTTTCAAGTTTTCAAAGAACCTTTGTCTTTAGTTTTCAGAAGTTTAATCATTGTCTAGGAAAGCATAGAATCCTTTTTTAAGTTTATCCTATTTGGAGTTTACTCAGCTTCTTGAATCTGTAGGTTTACGTCTTTTGCCAAATTTGTTAGGTTTTCAGTTACTGTCTTTTGAATGTATTGTTTTTCTTAGTTTTTCTCTCTTCTTCCTTTTAGGAAGCATGTATATATATATACATATAGTGCTTAGAAAGCATGTATGTATATATATAAAATCTTTGGAAGCTAATATATATATTAGCTCTTTTTTCTCAGAGCCTCTGTTCATTTTTCCCTTTATTTTCTCTTTGTTGTTCAAATTAGGTAAATTCTATTGATTTGTTCTCAAATGTACTGATTATATCCTCTGACATCTCGACACTGCTGTTGAGCCCATCCAGCCAGTTTTACATTTCTGTTATTGTATTTTTCAGTTCTATATATTCCATCTAGTTTTTTTTTTATAATTCTATTTTTTTCTTGAGATTTTCTGTTTTTCAGTAGTTTCAAGAGAATTTGTAACTGCCTGTTGAAGCATTTTTATGATGGCTGCCTTAAAATCCTTGTCAGATAATTCTTATATCAGATTCATTTCAGGGTTCACATCTGTTATGTTTTCTCATTCAAGTTCTGATTTTTTTTAGCTCTTGGTAACACAGGTGATTTTCCCTTATATTCTGGTCATTTTGGATATTATGATGCACTGTATAATATTTAATTTTTATATTTTAGAAAGCAGTCTCTTTGCTGAGTGTCTTGGGTGTGTGTGTGTGTTGAGTTTCCTGCTGGGCCCTACAGTATCAAAGTGGAGCATTTGTACACTGATTCATTGCAGATGAGTGGAATGGAAGTTTAGTGCTCCATTTTACTTTACTGATACCTTGTTGTGAAAGTGAGGCACCAACTTGGAGGCACCTTATTGCCTCCAAGCTGGGGTTTAAGCTCAGCTCCCTTCTGGGCCCTGTTGACTTTAGGGAGGAGGAGTCGAGGAGTGGAGGGCAGATTCACACCTTTCTGTTGCTGTGAGTAGGGGTGGGAGCTCAACTCCTTGTTCAGCCTCATGAATATTACCTTGGCAAGGGAATTGGAGCACTGCCTGCTTTTGCCAAGTAGGTGATGGAAGATCAACTTTCTACTTAGTCCTACTGAAATGGTAGAAAGGGGTGATTTTCTCTTTGGTGTTAAACTGCAATAGGATGTGTATTGCTAAAAACATTTTCTGTTGTTAGGCTCCTGTTTTCCTACCCCTGTATAGGCTTCTCCTGGAGCTTTTTTTAGTCTGTGCCTGTCAGTGGTTCAAGATTGGAAGCTTCTCCAGCGCCCTGTCCTGGATGTATAGGAGATAATAAGGAAACCCAGGTTTGTCGTGCCTTAATTCCTGAGGTTTCTAGGTTGTCTGCCTTCTTCATTCTTCCTTTCCGTCACCCTATGCCTGTTTGTTGTGTTGTATCTAGGGCTTTTCAGTTGTAAAAGGGAGAAGCTGGAAGAAATGGGCTACTCAATCTTTGCCAGACTGTCTTATCATTTATAAAGTGGAAAATTATTATGTACTTTCTTTATTGTAGGTCAGAGTTGGGGATAATTGAACTTTTGATATAGAATATTGAAACTTTTGGAAAAAAGAAATACATATGCATACTAAAGGTTATTTATTGTACCATAGAATTCAAAAACAGGAAGTGGAGGGAAATCACAGATTACTTGGGATAATCCTAAAGAATTAGAAGGCTATATCCAAAAACTCCAAAATGCTGCTGAACGGCTTGCCACTGAAAATAGAAAACTGAGAAAATGGCACACTACATTTTGTGAAAAGGTATATTTTGTTTATGAATTTGAATAAACTATGAATGATATTATTTAAAAAGTCATTAAGATACAATTTTTAAAAACTTATTTTGGAATAATTTGAGACTTAAAGTTGCAAAAATAGTACAGAGAAATCACAATTCCCCTTTGCCCAAATTCCCTGTTGTTAACAACTTATATAACCAGAGTAGTTATCAAAACCAGGAAACAGACTGTTTTCAAATTTACAATTTTCCACTAACATTCTTTTTTTTTTTTTTTTTCTAGGATACAATCTAGAATCCAATTCTGCATTTAGTTGTTGAGTCTCTGTAGCCTCCCCCTCCTCAGTCTTTTCCTTATTTTTCATGACTTTGATGAGTACTGGTCAGTTATTTTGTAGAATCTCCCTTGATTTGGGTTTATATGATGTTTTCCCATATTAGATTGGGGCTGTCCTATTTTGGCAGGAATAGCACAGAAGTGATGTTTTGCCCTTCTCAGTAGATTGGTCAAGTATTGATACATCTTGTATAGATTAAGTTAAGCTTGATCACTTGTTTAAGGTGGTATCTGTCAGGTTTCTCCACTGAAAAGTTACTATTTTTCCAGCAATATTTTGAGACTAGTATGCTCTAATTTTTCACAGGTGGTTGTTCTTATGAACATTGATCTGCTTCGGCAGCAGCAGCGTTGGAAAGACGGATTACAAGAATTGAGAACTGGCTTAGCAACTGTAGAAGCACAGGTAGAGTATGTTTTATTTTGTGTGTATACTTCGAAATATGGCCTTTTCAGAATGCAAATACAGTATATGAATTGCCGAGAAGTTCATAAAAGTTACCTTTAAATCTTGCTAATAAAATCCTAATAGATTTATAATTTTTGACTGAATTATATATAAAGACCATATATGAACGATCAATTTACATTTAAAAATATAAAAATAAGTTCCTGTAGTGTCTTATGGAATGCCAAATTCCTCAAGAATTTGTAGATTTTTGTCTTGGTATTTAAATATCTATCACTTGTTAGTTCTCTTTTAGGTGATTGTGACATCCATAAAAAACAAAGTTAAGTTTAGGTAGAATCCTAATGATTGAAATAATTTTATTTCAGATTTTTTTTTCCCTTTTTGGAGGTAAAACTTGAGTTCTATTCATATTTTGATATAATAGTTGATGCATATAAAGGTGGCTAGCACAAAGCCTGCTACATAGTAGATGGTGATGGAATCTTAGCGGAATATGAGTTAGATGTCTCACACATTTACATATATTTAATATTTTTCAGTTTTTATAACTTCAAGAAAAAGCAAAAGTACTAGAATTGATATATTTATGGTTGTATAGAAGCAAAAATGTATGTACATTCTTATGAACAATCTAATATTTTAAATCTCTTATGTTTTAGAATATGTAGTAGATTTACATTATGTAAGAAGTGGGAAGTGGGGCCGGGCGCGGTGGCTCAAGCATGTAATCCCAGCACTTTGGGAGGCCGAGACGGGCGGATCACGAGGTCAGGAGATCGAGACCAGCCTGGCTAACAGGGTGAAACCCCATCTCTACTTAAAAAAAATACACTAGCCGGGCGAGGTGGCGGGCGCCTGCAGTCCCAGCTACTGGGGAGGCTGAGGCAGGAGAATGGCGTAGACCCGGGAGGCGGAGCTTGCAGTGAGCTGAGATCCGGCCACTGCACTTCAGCCTGGGTGATAGAGCGAGACTCCGTCTCAAAAAAAAAAAAAAAAAGAAGTGGGAAGGGAAGAGAAGAGCTATACTTGATGGGAATTTTTGAAAAAGGACTAAGACGTTCATAAAATAAACCAGTATTTGTGGTACTACATCATAAAATAAAGTCCAAATATGAAAGTCATTTAATATTTGCTTGCTTTTTAAATTGTGCTGATCTTTTAAAATACTATTTATAAGTATGAAGATTAGATTTTCATATTTGTCTCTAAATAAGCTTATACAGAGAGTGACAAAGATGTACCTGTTTTCACACATTTGAAATGAGTTGGTTTTATTTTTGTGATTATAAATGTGCATTATGTGACGTGAAAGTATTAAATGAAAAATCCATTCTGCTGCCTAATTTCTAAATTAAAAATGTGAATGTAACATATTAGGGATTCCAAGCAAGTGACATGCATGCATGGAAACAACACTGGAATCATCAACTGTACAAAGCTCTGGAGCATCAGTACCAGATGGGCTTAGAAGCACTTAATGAGAATTTGCCAGAAATAAATATAGACTTAACTTACAAGTAAGATGTTTTTTAAACCCCAATTTAATGTTCAATGTGTAATTTTCTAATAATTTATGTTTTAAAGTTATTTATTTAATTTTAGACAGGGACGATTACAATTCAGGCCCCCTTTTGAAGAAATCCGGGCTAAATATTATAGAGAAATGAAGAGATTCATCGGCATTCCGAATCAGTTTAAGGGAGTGGGTGAGGCAGGAGACGAATCTATTTTTTCTATTATGATTGATAGAAATGCAAGTGGATTTTTGACAATTTTCAGCAAAGCAGAAGATCTGTTTAGAAGATTGTCAGCTGTTTTACACCAACATAAGGTATAGAACATGTAATGTTCCATCCTTGCATCCTAAAATTATTTCTGATTGATTGAATTTACATTAAATGTATACATTAGTAGTTTATCTTGTGTGGCATAACATTAAAATATGGCAAACCAGAGAGCTGGATCCGTAGATACTTATACAACCTAGATTTACATGCAGAAGAGAAAAAAGTTATGGGAACTTTTTTTTGTGTGTGTCTTTGACTATTTTGTGACAATTGAGAAACTTGTTTTTATTTGCTTTTTATTTTTTAGAATTGTTGTGTCAACTTGGCGGTTTGGGCATGGTGGCTTATACCTGTAATCCCAGCACTTTGGGAGGCCGAGGCTAATGGGTCACTTGAGTTCAGGAGTTTGAGACCAGCCTGGCCAACATGGCGAAACATCATCTTTATTAAAATACAAAAATTATCTGGGCGTGGTGGCGGGCATCTGTAAACCCAACTACCCTGGAGGCTGAAGTAGGAGAATCACTTAAACCAGGGAGGTGGAGGTTTCAGTGAGCTTAAATTGCACCACTGCACTCCAGGCTGGGTGACAGAGCGAGACTCCATCTCAAGAAAAAAGAAAAAAAATTGTGTCAGTTTAGAATGTGATATAGTTCTGTTGTGTCAATTTTAATTCTTCCTCTGAAGCCCTCAAATGTTACTGAAATCAGAGCGATTTAACAGCTTATGTCTGTTTAAGTATATCATCCCAACTAACTTTAAGTATAAACTAATTGTGTTTCTCATTTGTATTGATCCTAGACATATGACAAGAATTGGACCAGTGTCTTAACTGCCACTGCAATACTTCTGTGTCTTAGATTTCTAGGATGAATCTGGACACTTTCAGATTTGTAGCCTATAGTGACTCTTGGTTTTGCAGAAGTGATTCCACCTTTGATGTTTTGTATATATTTAATTTGAGAAGAGAATCTAAACAGAGGGTTTATATAATTTCCTTTTAAAAAGTTTATGATCACTGCATTTGCGTATTAAATCTCTTTTTTTCTCTTTATTCTTTAGGCTGTGTGGTAATGATTATATTACTTAAATTGACACTTGAATACCTCATATTTGCCTCTTTTTGTTGGTTTTAATAGTTGGATCGATTCTATTATATGTTAACGTACTGGTTCTATATCTTTAATAATACATTTTTCTTCCTTTAAACAGGAATGGATTGTAATTGGACAAGTTGATATGGAAGCTCTGGTGGAAAAGCATCTTTTTACTGTACATGATTGGGAGAAAAATTTTAAAGCATTAAAAATAAAAGGGAAAGAAGTAGAACGACTTCCAAGGTATTGGAGGTTAATGTAGTACTTACGTACCATAATAATTTTTTGACATGGACAGTAAGGGAGCTCTCTACTTAGTGGTATTGAAGGCAGATCAGCTTCTTGCCTCCTGTAGATCTCAGCTATGACACTTGGGTATCATCTAGGTAGGGTGTTACAGAGAATAAAACAAGTTTTCCTTCTAGAAGCTCTGCTGGCTGAGACCTATTAGGTAGAATAGACTGAAGAAAGAGGCTTTGATCTTGATCTGGTATGAGGAGCTATGTTTGATATGCATTGGCACAATCTCAGTACGGTTAGAAGCTACTGGTGAGAGCATACTAGAGAATATAAAGCTAGTGACATTTCACTCTGCTTTTGTACTGCTCTGCTTCCTTTCAAGATGTACAACATAGTGCTGCATTTAGATATTGCCCTAAATGTGGATAAAAGCCTCTAAGGGGCAACTCAGCTACTTGAGAATATAGCCTGAAATACTCACCACCAGAACCACTCTTAGCAATAAGTTCCATGAAAGGCCTTGTGTAATCATGCATATATCACCTATAAAGGATAATATCACTTTTATTAATTTATGTTTTCATTCTTTCAATAAATACTTAGTGTTTATAAAATGCAAAACTTTGTGCTTTAGGAGTACAAAGAGGAAGAAGACAGAGGACCTGAGATGAATTGCTTATTCTCTGGTAGTGCAATAAGACAAATATATTTGATGATTAATTCAAGTACACACAGGGGTTAAGTAAGTGGGCTCTGGAGTTAGGTAGCTGTTACCAGCTGCGTGACTGACGGTCATTGAAATTGTGAACCTAAATTTCTTTAGCTTTAAAATATTAGCAACAATAGTTATTAATCTCATAGTGTTTTGAGGATTGAGTAATTTCCATATAAGTAACTGGCACAGGGTATGTTTTCAATAAATGTGAGTTACTTTTAATTGTTGTTAATATCAGATGGAATAGTCTATATTCCATATTAAGACTGAACTAAAATTATGGGGATTCAGAGGATGATGACATCCCCTCTGTCTGGGGCAAAATCAAGGAAAATCTTTGTTAGGATAGTAACACTTGAACTAGGATTTTGACAGGTGCAAATGAAAATGGGAGGGTAAAAAAGAATCTCTTAGCAAAAGGAATTGTGTGCTGAAAATATGAAGTTGGTTAATTGAAAATTGTATTAGAGTTAATGTTTTATTAGGGACTAGAGGGAGATGATCCTGGAAAGGTATAGATAAGGTACACAAAAAAGAGAATTTGGATTTTATTCATTTTGGGATGATTAGCTTTTAAAGGGTTCTAAACAGGAGTGTGTCAGTACCAAAGCTGTTCATTAGGAAATTTAATCTGGAAACACAGATACATGGTGGGATAAAGAGATCCTGGAGGCAGACCAGCTAGTCTGTCAGTCTTCCAGAAGAGCAGTAATAATAATGATAATAATAATTATTATTTGAGACAGAGTCTTGCTGTGTCACCCAGGCTGGAGTGTAGTGGCATAATACTTGCTCACTGCAACCTCTGCCTCTTGGGTTTAAGTGATTCCTCTGCCTCAGCCTCCTGAGTAGCTGGGACTACAGGTGCACACCACCACGCCTGGCTAATTTTTTGTTTTTTTAGTAGAGGCAGGGTTTCATTATGTTGGCCAGGCTGGTCTCCAACTCTTGACCTCAGGTAATCTGCCCACCTTGGCCTCCCAAAGTGCTGGGCTTACAGGCATGAACCACCACAACCGGCCATAATAATTAATTGAATTACCTTATTGGATCTCAAAATGAGGAGGAGGAAATAGTATGAGGAATTAAGAAGTCTTATTTATTGGAGGAAGATGAGGGAGTAGGAATAGGAAGAGACAAATGACTTGAGGGTTTGAGCGTGGGTGATTTGGATACCCGTAGTACCATGAACATTAGTTTAAAGTAAGGAAAAGATAGTGCTTTTATAGTGCTTGCACATGGGGTTTTTCCTCTCTGTTGGACCTTGCTTTTGATCCCAATCTTGACCATCTTCTTTAACCTAATGCTGTCACCTGACTGCATAAGAACCTCTACTGTTACCTCTACTATCTTTTTGTCCCTTGCTTTAGATAGCTTTCTTATTTATGATCCTTACCAAAAGAAAAAACAAAGAACGCCTATCCCACACTGTGTTTTTCATTTTGCCATTTCTTGCTAACAAATTAACATGTATTCATCTAAGTGAATACACACATATGCACATACAAACACACACATTTTATTGGTACTTTTTGAAAATATGCTGTAAGATTAGAAAAGCTGTATTATTATGATATGTTTTAGATAGTATCATAAGAAAATAATTTTTGAATATGCATCTTTGATATATGAGTCATCTTCCATTGCTATCTATGGCTGAACAGAATCTCAGTTTCATATTGTGAATATTTTCAAATGAAAGATGAATGTTAGCCTTGTCCACAGCATTCTGTAGTGAGTAAAACTTCTTTGCTGTAATTGTATCACTTTATGTTAATTCATTAGCAAAATACAGTATAGTATAATCTTTTAGGTTTTCCAAAATCACTTATCTTCATGTATCAAATATCGGAAATCATGACTCTTTATGTGTCAGGATTTCAGAAATTTTATAATTTTATGTGTCAAGAAAATTGGCTGTTATATATAGCTTTTGGTTGTTAAGAACTGTAGTTTAAATTTCTCCAGCTAGTAGGTGATTGAGAATAAATAAGTAAAACTTTAAAAGAAAATTATATTTTAAAATAAAATGGTACATAATTAAAACATATAATTTGCCTCTTAAGGATCTCACCTGGCTCTATGCTTTAAGAAAAGCAAGTAGCTTTCCAAATAATCTTTTTGACCAAAGTTTTCAGATTTGTTTTAACTCTGTATAATTGAAGATAAATATGAGACTTTCCTCAGATGAGTGAGTCTGGTTCAGCTTTTCTTTGCTTAGAACGTTACAATTTGCATTGAGGTGCAATGGAAATAATTACATGTTTAAAACTTTATCCTTGTTTTCTGATTATTAAAATAGTATATTTGTTTTATAGCTTGTTTTAAATATAGTAAAATACAGAGACAATTCCTGTTAATATTTGATGTTTTGGACATATTAGTATATACACTTATAAAATGTAGATTATATTATATCCTGCTGTTTGTTTTTTTTGAGAGTGAGTCCCGCTCTGTTGCCCATGCTGGAGCGCAGTGGTGTGATCTCGGCTTACTACAACCTCTGCCTCCTGGGTTTAAGCGATTCTCCTGCCTCAGCCTCCTGAGTAGCTGGGACTACAGGCGTGCACCACCATGCCTGACTAATTTTTATATTTTTAGTAGAGACAGGAGTCTCACCATGTGGGCCAGGCTGGTGTTGAACTCCTGACCTCAGGTGATCCGCCTGCTTCGGCCTCCCAAAGTGCTAGGATTACAGGCCACCACGCCTGGCCTATCCTGCTATTTTTATGGAATATTATTTCATTGATAGTTTGCAATGTTATTATCTGCACGTCAAAAATGTGATTTTTAATTATATGTATATTTAAAAATTTATTTTGCTGTTTCTATGTTTACCTTGTTTCAAACTTTTCACTATTATAGTTAGTGCTTTCATGAAAATACTTGTGTATAAATCTTGGAGTCTGCCTTGCAATTTTTCTTAGGATAAATTCTAAAGGTAGAGTTGTTAAGACAAAGGATATGCCAATTTAAAATTATTTGACATATACATTGCTCTTTACAAAGATTGCCTTGTTTTATATTCTAACAGTTCTGGGAATTTGCGTTGTTTTATATTCTAACAGTTCTGGGAATTCTGTTTGCCCACACAATTGAAGATTCAAAGTAACCATTCATTACATTTTTTTCAGTTTGTTAAATGTACAATGGTGTCTCATCGTTTTATTGTTTTAGTACTTTAACAGTCTAAATTTACTTTCTATCTATATTTAATTTTGTCTTATTTTTATTATTTGCATTTTGGCTGCAGGATAGTAAATTTATTTTATAAATATTTAAATAGGTGTATTACATGCTGTGACAAGAGAACTCATTAATATTTAAATATATTCTTTTGATACTTTAGTAATTCATAATGTACCACCTTTTTTTGAAGCTGATATGCTGGATGATTAAACTTGTAGTATTATAACAAAATCATTGTTCAATGAAAAACTTCAAAATAGTATGTGTAAGGCATTTTTGCTAAATTGAATCTAAATGTGCTTGAAAGATCACTATGTTACTGTTGATATACATTTTTAAGTGTATTACATGAAATCGTTATTATATGAGACTCTTTTCCTCTAATTAGTCTTTTCTATGTCAAAATATGTCCATTGACATTTTTCAGTGTTGTCAAGGTAGATTGTTTAAATATTAACTGCAACCCTGTGAAGACTGTGATTGATGATCTCATCCAGAAGTTATTTGATCTGCTTGTTCTTTCTTTGAAGAAGTCCATACAGGGTAAAGACACATTTTAATTTTTATTTTTACTTAATTTGATATGCAGAAGCATGCACTTTAAGAGTTATAAAATGTGAATTTCAATGATCATTAAAAACCAAAACTGAACTAATTTAAAAAAAGCGGGAAAAGTCCATTTTCAATCTTCAAGAAGCCTAAAATGAAGACATCTTTATTATTTGCAGTCTGAGCTAGTATCAGATTGTTGCATTATGTAATTGAGAAAGGGAGGTAATTCTGGTATAATGTATTTCTGCTTATCTCCTCAAATGACAGAGTATTTTTCAAAATACCACAGTTTCTTCTTTTTCCTTTAAACTGAGATGTTTTAGTATATTATATAAAAGACGAAAAATGTTCAGTAAAATTTACTAAAAATGAGTGCATTTTAAGCTTTTCTTAACATTTTTAAATACAACACAAAGCAACTAAACTTTCATGGGAAGAAATTTCTTTGCTTATTCCACATCTTGAAATTTTGTTTTATGAAAGCAAATGATAATTTAGAACTTATTGTATTCCATATACTGATTACTTCTACCACCCCTTGATTTAGAAATTATGTAATTTAGTATTTTGGATGGTAATAATTACATTTCTTGTATTTCAATGCTACCACTCAGCTCATTTACATGAAATTGACACATTTGTTACTGAGGCTATGGAAGTCTTAACAATTATGCCCCAGTCTGTGGAAGAAATTGGTGATGCAAATCTACGATATAGTAAGTTACAAGAACGGAAGCCAGAGGTGAGAATCACAAAGTAATATTATTATTATTATTACTTTCTTTATTTTTGAGTTGCAACCTATAGTTATAACTCTAAAGGTAATAGTGTGAATTATTTAAGTTTAGTCTTACTGTAACATGCCACAGCATAAAACAGACTGCAAATATATCTAAAAATAATACTAAGTGTTATGGTTACTGTTTCATTACACCAATAGTGCATCAAAAGTCTATTTATTTATTTACTTACATATTTATTTTGAGACGGAGTCTTGCTCTGTCACCCAGCCTGGAGGGTAGTGGCGCGATCTCGGCTCACTGCAACCTCCACCTCCCGGGTTCAAGCAATTCTCTTGCCTCAGCCTTCCGAGTAGCTGGGACTACAGGCACATGCCAACATGCCTGGCTAATTTTTGTATTTTTAGTAGAGGCGGGGTTTCACTATGTTGGCCAGGCTGGTCTCGAACTCCTGAGACCTCGTGATACGCCTGCCTTGGCCTCCCAAAGTGCTGAGATTACAGGTGTGAGCCACCGCACCTGGCCTTATTATTGCTTTTTACTGCATGGAAGATGTTTAAATTAGGTAATTATATGTCATTATTTACAAATATATAATCTCAACATTATAAGGAGGTCCACAATAATCTGGCTCAACTGGTTAGCTCACGATTAGATTCTTGGCTGGGCATGGTAGCTCACGCCTGTAATCCCAGCACTTTGGGAGGCCGAGGCAGGCAGATCATGGGGTCCGGAATTCAAGACCAGCCTGGCCAACATGGTCAAATCCCATATCTATTAAAAATACAAAAATTAGCCGGGTGTGGTGGTGGGTGCCTGTAATCCCAGCTACTCAGGAGGCTGAGGCAGGAGAATCTCTTGAACCAGGGAGGCGGAGGTTGCAGTGAGCTGAGATCATGCCACTGCCCTCCAACCTAGATGACAGAGCAAGACTCTGTCTCAAAATAAATATGTAAGTAAATAAATAAATAGACTTTGATGCACTATTGGTGTAATGAAACTGTAACAGTAATACTTCGTACTATTTTTAGATATATTTGCAGTCTGTTTTATGATGTGGCATGTTAGAGTAAGAGTAAGCTTAAATAATTCACACTATTTCCTTTAGAGTTATAACCGTAGGTTGCAAAAGTATGAAGTTAAGAGCCAAACTAGGAGTACACATGCACACATGCATATATGATGGAAGAGCTCATAATTAAATACAAAGGAGAATGGTAAAGATTCATAGAAAACTATCCAGAAGGCTAGAGCCCAGAATAGACAAGCCAAAGTTTTATAACATTATAGATGATTTTGGTTATATTTGGAGCAAGAAGGAGAAATAATTCAAATTAGTATACAAACTTATTTGCCCCCACCATGTGATAGACTTAAAATTATAAAGAGAGTTTCAAGGTGAATAAAATATCACCCCAGTGGAAAGAATTACAGACTTTTGTGTGATAGACTTAAGGGTATTAAAGAGGATTTACAGGTGAATAAAATAATGTATCTGTCTTGTAGAAGGAATTAGCTAAAATAGGAATGGTTATGAGCTGTGGCAGTTAGCAGAGGCATTTGACTGTTATGTATGGATCACCATACTAGGTGTACTAGGAGTTGGGGATGCAGCTGTGAAAATATTCTATTCTCATGGATCATATGTGTATGTGTATGTGTATGTGTATGTGTATGTGTATGTGTATGTGTGTGTTTGTGTGTGTGTGAGAGAGAGAAAGAGCAAAAGAGAGGATTTTGAGAGAGAGAGAGGAGAGAAGTGAGGATGAGTATGCTCAACTAGGGGATATTACTTAGGGTTGGTGATCATGGGATATCTTCTCAGAGAGATGACATTTGAGCTGAGACCTGACAGATAAGAAAGAGCCAAACATTCTGAGATTTGGGGACAGATCATTCCAAAAAAGGATGAATAGCATGCACAAAGATCTTAAGGTAGAGAAGGAGCTTGGTATGCTTAACGAACAGAGAGATGTAAACATCAAGAGAGTTAATTATTAAGACAGCATAGTATTCAAGGAAGAGAATGAATCGTATGAGGTGCAATTGGAAAGAGGCAAGTCCAGATTACGAAGATACTTTTAGACAATCATAAGAAGTTTGTATTTTATTCTGAGTGTAATAAGAAAGTCTTTAGACGGCTTTAAGTGGGGGAGTGACAGAATGTCTCTGACATTTTGAAGTGATGGCTTTAGCTGTTCTGTGGAAAATGAATTGGAGGGAGACAATAGCAGTGGCCAGGCCAGTTAGTAGGATATTACAATATGATAGACAAGAAATGATGGAAACTTGTATCATGTAGTAGTAGTGGAGATAGAATTGGAGAGATTGATGATGTGTGGGGGTGGGTGTGGTTAGAGAAAGACAAATCAAAATATCTCCTAGGGTTTTGGCTTGAGCAGCTGGGAACGTATTGGTGCCGTTTCCTGAAATAAGAATGACTAGAGGAGCAACTGGAGTTCGGAAGTGGTAGAGATTAAGTTGTCTGGTAGAAATTGAATGAGGAATGTGGAATTTAGAGTAAAAGTAAGGACTACAAATAGAAATTTTGAAGTGTTTTTTAGATACATGAGATTTAAGCCTGGGGATTGGCTTAGACCAACTGGTAGATAACAAACACAATGTGTAAGACCAGGCTTGAACTTTGCAAAATTTAGACTTTAAGCATAAGAGGAGGAGCAAAGGAGATGAATGGAGTGGGAGGAAAGACAAGAGATTGTAGTGTCACAAAAGCTAAGAGGAGAAATTGATGTTGTTTGCCGGGAACAGCAAGCAATTAGGTATTATAAGAGGTAGTACGTGGCATGAGATAATAAAAGATAATAAAAGTACCTATAAGAGGTGGGAAGTGGCATGAGCTAATAAAAGAACTAGGCAGAATATTCATGTGAGCCATATCAAGGACCTTAGAATCTCATATTCTGTGGTCATTGAGGAGCTGTTGCTAGGTTTTATATAGCAAAGTATTATATAATTCTCTTTTGGTATGTCTGTTTGTTGGTATGTGGATTTGAGGGGTAGGACTGGAGGTAGGTAGACTAGGAAACTATTGTGATATGTTTTACAGGCTAACTGGAGTTCCGTTCACGTGTAGAAACTTAAAATCCTGAGGTGGTCCAATCATAGTTCACTGCAGCCTCAAACTTCTGGGTTCAAGCAGTCTTCCCTCTTCAGCTTCCTCAGTAGCTAGGAGTACAGATGTGCACCACCATGCCCAGTTAATTTTTAAATATATTTCTTTAGAGATGCGTTCTCACCATGTTGACTAGGTTAATCTTAATCCCCTCACCTTGGCCTCCCAAAGTGCTAGGATTACAGGTGTGAGCCGCCAGGCCTGCCCAATTGAGTTATCTTTGAATTTCCTTTGTTGTCTGTTTTATTATGTATGCATAGTGATATTTAAAAATGTTTAAATGGATTTTATTGCTTTATTGAATAGTAAAAATACAGATATTAATTATCGGATACTGTTGTTTTACAGAGTTTTAAAAGCCTTAGAGGCAGTTCCAGCAGTTTAGCACCCATTGACCTACACCCAAATTGTTTAACAAACTGTTAGCTATATACAACTTAGGACACTTCAGTTAAAAACCCTGAACGTAGGAGCTTAATTTCACTTCCTTAGTTGTCTGTTTCTTAAGTAGCTTTTTTCATGACTTTCTTTCTCTATTAAGTAGGATAATTTAGTTAACTTATGCTCTTAGATAATCACTAATTTTAGCTCCTTTAGAAACCTCTTTTGCATTTGCTTGTGAATGGAACATTTATAATAAGAACTTTACTTTGATAAACCATAGTATTATCTTTATGGATTTCATTTAGTCTCATATTACTACTTTATCTTTTTTAACCTCTGAGGTTAGAGTGCCTTGGTAGAATTTGTATATAGTAAAAAATAACCATTAGAGTTTATATCCAGGAATTTTCCACCAAATCAGAATATATAGGAATTTAACAAATTGTTTAACTGCAAAAATCTTAATTTGAAAAATAAAGTCATGAAACAAAAATTAAAATAAATGAAATCTTAAGAGATTTGATAAAATAGGTTGTTATTCACTTTTTTTTTTAACCTTTAGATTTTGCCCTTATTTCAAGAAGCGGAAGACAAAAATAGACTTCTACGAACTGTGGCTGGTGGAGGTTTAGAAACAATTAGTAATTTGAAAGCTAAGTGGGATAAATTTGAGTTAATGATGGAAAGTCACCAACTTATGATTAAAGACCAGGTTAGAACTTTTAGTTATTTATTAAAATGGGAACTTTTTTCTCACTTAAGATTTCTTGCTTATCTTTTATTCCTTTATAGCCCAGGTTTATAATAATTTAATGTGGCTGTTGAAATTGACCTCCCTGACTACTTTTAAAGTAAAATGCTTTATATAAATGATGATTGTTTCACATGATTTTTCTTTACTTCCTATCATACCAAGAAGAAACCAGTGTCTTTGAAATGTAGCATTATTTGTAGTCTTATAGATGAATTTATTGCTTACCTACTATGTATGACTTAAGTTTATTTCTGAAACTCATGTTTTCTTTAATTACTAAATTTATTAGGATATCAGTTTAACTACTCTAATGGAGACCCCAAAAATTCTAGCTTATGTTTCTCTCTCACATTATAAGCTGCTATGGTGCCTCTGCTCTGTAACTTTGTCCGAGTCCCAGGTTTTGTCAATTTTATTTGTCTATTATCTCCAGCGTATTGTCTAGGATGGGTTATTACCACATTCAGTTGATACCTACTAGGGTCAGGAGAGAGGGAAAGAGAAAAGGGCACCATCTGTCTTTTAAGGACACAACCTGCAAGTTGCACATACCTACTGCACTCATATTTTATTGACCAGAAGTTAGCCTTAGGGCCCAGTCCTTAGCTGCATGGGAGACTGGGCAATGCCTTCCTTAATTTAGCAGCTATATACTCGGGTAGAACAATCAGCAGTCATTAAACAAACATTTTTAAATTATCTTACCTTTGTCGTTAGTTGTACTAGGTGTGGTTAATCACATGAATGATTTTTAAATGATGTTATTTGAATGTTATCTCTTGTTATTATAAATTTATGGTCTAATTTATATCTTTGAATTATTTTGTTGAACTTGGAATTAATAATTAAAATACCATCCTTTGAAAAGTTGACATTGGTCATTGATACTTTTTCACTTTTAAATAGAAAATAATGTGAACCCAAAATGAGATTTTACTCTGCATTAAATTATTTAAACTTTATTGGCTTATAGATTGAAGTGATGAAAGGAAATGTGAAATCACGTCTTCAGATCTATTATCAAGAACTGGAAAAATTTAAAGCTCGTTGGGACCAGCTAAAGCCTGGTGATGATATTATTGAAACTGGCCAACATAATACTCTTGATAGAAGTGCAAAGTTAATAAAAGAGAAAAAAATTGAGTTTGACGAGCTTGAAGTCACAAGAAAAAAGCTGGTGTATGTTTTTTCTTTAAAATTGATACTGCTCATTTTGGAAAAACAATTTATATATCAAGCTAGTAATTTTCTTGTGTCTGTTATCTTGATACCTTTCCTCATAAACTTCATCAGTTTTTAAAATACAAATAATAAGCATTCATGTACTGTTGTCTTAGGAGTCATAGTTGTGTTACATAAGGATATTAAGAGAAAACAAATTTCAAGAAAGGCCTAGAAGATAAATTTACCTAGAAGTTATATCAGGGGGTTGGAATTGTCACTTTCTTTGAACTTATCCTATTTAAAAATGAAATATATGTAATTTTCAGAAAAATTACTTTTAGTGCCTCTGAGAGAAAAATAAATCTAGCATAATAAGTAATAAAAGTCTTCAAAGAAAAAAATGAGTTGTTGGCTTATAATAATATAAAGTATTAAATTTGAGCACTGCTTTAGGTTCTATTTAAGTAGATGCTTTCATAAGTGAGTGAAGTGAGTCAGTTTTGTTACCATAATTACTAAATGGCATTATACTGACTAGATGAAGGATATCTTATACTCTAGAAGCTTGCCCTTTAAACTGAGAAGAGTATTCTTTTCCCAAATTAATCTGTAGATTTATACAATCTTGAATATTTACATATATAAAATATGTATTATGTACATATAAATCTCTCTATATTACCAACTCAATTTTGACTTCTTTGGATAAAATGTATATTAATGAATTTATAGAGTTCATATGTGAGTAGGTAAAGTATAATTCTCAGATAGGTAGTTTCTTCATGTACTTTACTGTAGTTTCTTATTGTATGTCTATTAAACATACACATGTGGGTATGTACACACATACAAGGATTGGAATTAATAACTTAATAATACTTAACAGTATCAATATTTCTGTTTTTAAAATTTAATATTCCAATATTTGTTTCTATAGTGATGATTGCCATCATTTTAGACTAGAAGAGCCTAATTTCTCCCTGGCAAGTAGCATCTCTAAAGATATTGAGAGCTGTGCACAAATTTGGGCCTTTTATGAAGAGTTTCAACAAGGATTTCAGGAAATGGCCAATGAAGACTGGATCACTTTTCGGTTTGATTCAAAAACAATATTTAGACTAATAATTTGGTTGTTTTATTTTTGGATGTAAACTTTGCAATGTGTTTTTGGTATTTTATAGGACTAAGACATACTTGTTTGAGGAATTTTTGATGAACTGGCATGACAGGTTAAGGAAGGTTGAAGAACATTCAGTGATGACAGTGAAATTACAATCAGAGGTTGACAAATATAAAGTAAGATTTTTTACTTATTTTGCTAGTTAAAAACAATGGAGCTTTTGTCTTTTTCTTATGTAGTGACTGAACTATATAATTTTAGTTTATATGTTTTTCAATTAAATTATTCCATTTCATGAAGAAAATAGGAAATACAGAGTAAACCACAAAAATTATTGATATTTCGAGCGGGTGCGGTGGCTCATGCCTGTAATCCCAGCACTTTGGGAGGCTGAGGAGGGCGGATCCTGAGGTCAGGAGATCGAGACCATCCTGTGAATGGTGAAACCCCGTCTCTACTAAAAATACAAACAATTAGCCGGGTGTGGTGGTGGGCACCTGTAGTCCCAGCTACTTGGGAGGCTGAGGCAGGAGAATGGCATGAACCCGGGAGGCGGAGCTTGCAGTGAGCCAAGATGGCACCACTGCACTCCAGCCTGGGCGACAGACCAAGACTCCATCTCAAAAAGAAAAAAAAAGAAAGAAATTATTGATATTTCTACTACCAATGAGAAAGAAGTTATAATAAATTTATGTTAAAGTTAAAAAACAGAGTGTTTATACATTCCAGTCCATCATGGGTCCTATCCTATAATAATTAAAAAATAGAGATAGTCTATGTCATGTTTTAAAATATATTAAACTACAAAGGGTAATTCGTGTGTATCCATAGCAACATTTAATCAAAAGCTTTATACAATTCTGTTTAAGAATATGATTTTAAGATTATTAAACAAGAAGATGGAGTAATTAAAATTTTGGTAACTAATAAGCATAAAAGTAAATACTAATTTGCATTTTGCTAATATATGTATATATGTATACGTATGACTTTTTCTTTTTTCTTTTTTCTTTTTTTTTTTTAACAGATCGTAATTCCTATCTTGAAATATGTGAGAGGGGAGCATCTTTCTCCAGATCACTGGCTTGACCTTTTTCGTCTCCTTGGACTTCCTAGGGGGACTAGTCTAGAGAAACTACTGTTTGGTGATTTGCTCAGAGTAGCTGATACAATTGTAGCCAAAGCTGCGGACCTTAAAGTATGACTCACTTTTATAAATATCCCATAAGTCTGGCCTTTTTAAATATACAATATTGCTTCATATTTTGCTTAAATACAAAAAAGCTAGTCCTTTAAGGGAATCAGCTTTAATCAAAAAGTAAACAAACACAAATCATTTTACATAAAAGAAATTAAAAAATTATGTGATATGTTACACATAGAAGCTAGAGGATACACAAATCTAGAGAGCTAAACCAAGAATCAGTTTGCTAATCAGATTTAGAAAAGGTCTCAGGTAAAAGTAAAAGTTGCCACAATTCTATTACAAGTGACAGACTTTTAGTGTTTCGTTCTGGCCATTCAAAAATGTAAGGACTCTTGATGTCAAATTGTTTTATTTCCTATCCAAAAAATAAACCTTTGTGTTTGTTAATAACCCTGGAATATTTTTAAATAATCTTGAGAAGTTATGAAGCATGACTCTTGCAGAAGATAACTCTAGTTGATTGTTAATCATTTTAGATGTATCAGAATCTGCAATAAGATTACAGTATAATTCCTGAATTTCTTTTGTTCCAAATATGGGCCTTTTAGTCTGTAAGACTTTAAATAAGCCAAACTAGTTTTTTCTTTTGTGATGGATGCTTTAATTTTTTACTTTTCTTTTAGAGAAGTAAAAAGCATAAGGCAGAACTTTGTATGTATTTTGACCATGTGAACCAGGATACTTAGTATCTTACATGATTTGATAAAATAGCCAGTAATTTTCTTGGGTTGCATGTAAAATAGAGCCACTTAACTTTTTTTTTTCTTTTGCCTTATGCTGAAAAGCCAGATAAAATATATTTTTCATAAAATACTTTTCTGTTATTTACTTATGTGATAATTAATGTTGAACTAATAAACATGGATATTTTGTGTTAAATAGGATTTAAATAGTCGGGCACAAGGTGAAGTTACAATCAGAGAAGCTTTACGTGAACTTGATCTTTGGGGAGTTGGAGCAGTGTTTACATTAATTGATTATGAAGACAGCCAAAGTCGAACTATGAAGCTGATTAAAGACTGGAAAGATATAGTAAATCAGGTTGGAGATAATAGATGCCTTCTTCAATCCTTGAAGGATTCTCCTTATTATAAAGGATTTGAAGATAAAGTATCAATTTGGGAAAGAAAACTTGCAGAGTTAGATGAATACCTGCAGAATTTAAATCATATTCAGAGAAAGTGGGTGTATTTGGAACCCATTTTCGGTCGTGGAGCATTGCCAAAAGAACAGACACGCTTCAACAGAGTTGATGAAGATTTTAGGTCAGTACAATGATGTAAGACATAAACACATATGGTGGTTTTTTTTTTTTAATTAATTCATATCGTGAAGTGCTTAATAAAGGCAAATTACTTTTACATTATTGGTATCCTCTGTGTATTCAAACTCGTTCTCTAGAGGATCCTTTTGAGAAGCTTTCTCTAGTGGATCCTCTCATTCAAGCATTTACTTCTTGAACCATTGTGGTGTGGTCTCTGTTATTACTACTCTACTTAATAATACATAGTTCCTAAAATCACCAATTACTTTCCTGTTTTAAATTCAAAGGGCATTTTTCATTTTTCATTTTACTTTATCTCTCATTAGGATTTACTAGAGTTGAGCATTTCTTCTTTCTTAGAAAGTCTCTTCCATTGGCTTTTGTGATATTGTCCTCTCTTGGTTTTCTGACTGTCTCTCTAGTTCTACACATAGTTCCTAGTCCTTAGCTGTCTCCGAACCTTTAGATGTTGTCATTCTCCAGTCTTCAGCCTTTGATTTTGTTCTCACTGTATTCTCAGGTAATCTTAACCACTGCCAGCATCAGTTCTCTTTTATGTGCTTAGGTCTCCTCAACTTACATGTACAGCCCATATTTCTCCTCTGAGCCCCAAATCTAGCAAACATGCTCAAACAGTAGGCTAAAACTGAATTCATGAGCTTAATTTACCAGTTCCTTTCCAACAAATCTTTTTTCTTTTTGATTCCTATTTCAATAAATGGCCCAACCTAATTGTTGAAAGCAGAGACATGATGTATGACTTTGATATCTCCCTCTTTCTCCACTTTTACATACATTAAGTTGCCAAATTTTGTTGATTCTAACCTACTTAGTGTATCTGGAACCAAACACCAGTACAGAAGTATATCTGTACTTCTATTCTAATATTCTGTGTCTCTCACTTGGATTACGCACATTAACCTTCTGACTTGCTCTTATATAAGTTTTTCACACAACAGCCGGAGTAATTGTTTAAAAATGCAGGTTCAGCACTTCCTTTTATTCCTGTAAATAAAACTTTAAAATAGTTTCCCATCGTGCTAGGGATAAAGCATGATCTGCTCCTTGTTCATTTCTGTATACTTTTCTTGTGCTGCTCTCCATTTTGCTTTAGTGACTCTGGCTTTTAGTTTCTCGGACATACCTATCTTTTTCCCAGAATCTTTGCCAGAAACTTCTTCTACTCACTCACTTTTTCTTTTTATTCTTCATCCACATATCAATTTAAATTACTTCCTTAAAGAAGTCCTAGGTTATGGGTTGCCCTATTAGCCATTTTAGTGGCTAAAATACCTAAAAAGTATTTTAACTTTTTACTTTATTTATTTAACTTTTTACTTTATCTACCTTATTTTAACAATACTTTACTTTTCCTTTTTAACATTTATCACAATTTTATTTAAATATTTCTAGAAATTATTCGATGTCTTTTGCCGTCACTAGAAGCTCTCTATTAGTTAGGGCTTAAAATTAGCTTAGCAAATGAAATATATAAGATAATTTATAATATGGGAAGTTAAAAATGGTAGTGTGATATTAATTTTTAACATTCCTAGAGGTATACTACTGTTATAATAGTGTTACCTTTAGTTTGTTTTAAGCAGGTTAAAAAAAGTCTTAATCTCCTTTTTTTACCCCCCAAATTGTTAAAATAGATGTGAAGATACTTTTTTTTTCTTTTGTAGATCAATAATGACTGATATCAAGAAAGACAATAGAGTCACAACATTAACTACTCATGCTGGAATCAGAAATTCTCTACTAACAATACTTGATCAGCTTCAAAGATGTCAGAAATCATTAAATGAATTTTTGGAGGCATGTTTTTTAAGAAAAATATATCATAAATTGTAAAGTACTTGATATCTTAATTATTTGAAAAACAAAAGCTATTTTTTTGTTTCTATTTTTATTAGGAAAAACGCTCAGCATTCCCAAGATTTTATTTTATTGGTGATGATGACTTATTAGAAATACTGGGCCAGTCTACTAACCCATCAGTGATTCAGTCTCACCTTAAGAAACTTTTTGCTGGTAGGAGTCAACATTTATTTAACAGATATTTATTGAGTTTCAACTGTCTGGCAGGCCTAATGTTATGCTCTTAAGTAGACTACTGAATACAGTAGTCAGTTCATAGATCCAAATACAGTTCCTATACCCAAAGAACGTACAGTTTAATAGGGGAGACAAGGTTGTAAGTTGACAAATATAATACAGTGTGACAATTCCGGTGATTAACATAAGTATGTGGTGCTATAGCTCCATCTGTGAGGGCCTTTAGCTCAGTTTTAGGGCATCATGAATAAGTGACATCTAGGGTGATATCTGAAGAATGTATAGGCCTTAGTTAGAAAAAGGTAGGCAGGCAGTGGGAATAGGCTGTTCTAAGGCCTGGAGTGAAGGAGAATATGCCCCTTCCTTATTGAGTTTAAGGTCTCCTGAATGACATCCAGGTGGAGATACTCCATAGGCAGTTATTGTCAGTGAAGAGACCTAGGTGAGAATGTAGGCGTCATCCATATAGAAATAATAGTTAAGCTATGGGAACAGGTGAGATTACATGGGGGAAAAGTGTAATGTCAAATGCTTTGATGTTGTAGAGTCACTTTAATGGGATACTTATTAGTGGCAAATGGAATAGGCTTATTACCAAAATAATGACTATTATTTTCTTAAAATACTTAATTTGCTTGGAAAGAGCAAGCAAATGAATGCTTCTATAGAGCAAACAGCTCTATAAAAAAGAGCTCTATTTTTCAAATTAAATTTATGAAGTAAAATAATTTTCATCATTTTAACTAATAATCAAGGATCAGCAAAATATAACCCATGGACCAAATCTGGATCACTACTTGCTGTTTTTTAAATAAAGTTTTGTTGAAACATAATCCTGCACAGTAATTTATGTATTGTTGTCTATAGCTGCTTTCATGCTATGAATGCAGTGTTGAGTAGTTGACACTGACCATATGGTTCATTAGACTTAAAATATTTACTCTCTGGTCCTGTACAGAAATATTTATCAATTCCTGTGTATCTGAAGCTTTAGGATGCTTATATTTGTAAATATGATTTGGGCAGTGGGAGGTAGTAGAAAACAAACACTTGCAATCAGAAGCCTTTCATTCAACCAATCTCTCTACTGTTTATTAATTGGTCATCAAATTACCTCTCTGAAATTTAGTTTTCTTCTTTATATTACAGATAATAATATAGTTTTTTTGTGAAGATCGAAATTACATAGTATGTTCAAGTTTTTTATATACTATAAAGTGATACGCAAATTTGGGGGAGGGGGAAGTCTTATTTGCCGTCAACACATTTACCTGTTCATGGGCATCTGGGTTATTTCCAGTTTTTGGCTATTATGAATAAAGCTGTTAAACAGTCATACAAGTCTTTTTGTAGACATACATTTTTATTTGTATCGGATAAACACCTAGTTTTGGAACTGCTGCGTCATATAGTAAGTATATGTTTAACTTTTTCAGAAACTGCCAAATCATTTTCCAGAGAGGTTGTAACATTTTTCACTCCCCCAAGAATGTGAGTTAGGACAGTTCTTACTGATTGGTACGTACTAGTTGAGTAGGTTGCCTAAATTTTTTTTTCTGGAAAATGGTAGGAATGAATAAACAAACATATATAGAAATATCTAAATAAACATTCACAAATTTGACCAGCGAATCATGCCATGTATAGTTAGATATTGATAAGAAATATTTCAGATGAGTGATAAGAATATTGATCCAGAAAGTGATTTTTTTTTTCCCTCAATAGGACATTTAAACACTAGGAGCACTATATATTATGTGGTATACATTATAATTCAATTATTACATATGTTTTAGGGTATATATTAACACTATTTGACACACATATTGTATCTAATAATTATGTCTTTAATCCTTTTGCATTTCAATTGTTGCTTTTATATTTCAGGTATTAACAGTGTTTGCTTTGATGAGGAATCAAAACATATAACTGCAATGAAATCTTTAGAGGGAGAAGTTGTACCTTTTAAAAATAAAGTTCTTCTATCAAATAATGTAGAGGTAAGCCATTCTTTTTCAAATATGAAAACAAAAAGAATTAACTATGAACTTTGTTTCTAAAATAATTTAGTCAATTTAGAGGGTAAAGTTGGTTAATTTAGGTATTTTAGGGAACTCAGCTCATAACTTAAAAAATGATTTGTTTTGTTAGTTTCAGAGTGTTTTGATATTAAAAAGAATATGGATTTTTTAGTCTTTGGAAGGCAGCATGTAATTTTGAAAAGAACCTTGGCCTTGGAGTAAAAAAACTTAGATATTAATCTTAGCTCCATAACTTAATAGCTATGTGACTTAGAGTGTTGGTTTTCTAATCAGTAAAATGGTAATCTGAATACAGTTGGAGTATCTCTCATCCAAAGTATTTGGGACCAGAAGTATTTCAGATTTCAGATTTTGTTGGATTTTGGAATATTTGCATTATGCCAGTTCAGCATCCCTAATGTGAAAATCCAGAATGCTCCAATAAGCGTTTTCTTTGAGCATCATGTCAAACTCAAAAAGTTTTAGATTTTGGAGGATTTTGAATTTTGGATTTTTGGATTAGGGATGTTCAACCTGTAACTGTTACAAAGATTTTCAATTAAAAATTAAATGAGATAATTGGCTTCAAGTACACTATTTAGTGCTTGGAACATGGCACTCAATAAATTTTAGATGTCTTTACTCTTTAAAATATGAATTTGTATAAGATAATTTGGGTGAACAAGTAAGCAAACAACTATCGATTAACTGGTCCTGCAGGACTGGAAGTAAACTGATCAAAGACCTATTATAGGCATATAGCTAAAACTAACTAGCAATAGATTGCATCACATGGAATTGTAATTTTTCAGTTTCAAATTATCTTCCAACTGGAAGCCAGGGCCCATGCCTTGTCACGTGCATGTCCATACAGCCTAGCAAAATGTTTATTCCTGGTTAGGCTTCAACATTTTATTGGATATTGAGTACATAAATCAGTTGATTGAAAACCTGGGAGATTTGCTAATCATATTTGGTTAAGAGTTTTGTTGTTTTTCCTTTTGTAGTTTTGTTGGATGTATACAGAGAGACAGAGCTTAAATTTTAGCAACTGGGCTAGAGCAGGTATACCAGCAAAGGAAAAGTTGAAACTCTGGAAGCTTTATGATTGTTAGCAGAGAAGGTGTCTCTGTTGCCATGCACTGAGAGGTGGATTCTCACTCTTTAGCTTCAGTGAATTTTGATGCTATTTGCAGTACTGAAAAATGCTCTACAGATTAAAAAAAAAAAACTGGAACTCAGTAATTTACACAATGATGAAAGGCTAAGATTGCAGCTTTTGCCTTTTTATTACAAATGACATATTTTTAAGGTTAAGAAGTGATTCATATTCATTGTTTCTATCAATGATCATTGTCAGTTTAACTTTTTATTATTTTATATATAATCAAGTGAGTGGAAAAATACATTGTTTTCACTTTGAAACAAAATTAGTTTTGTTGGATGAAGCAATCTCAGCCCCCAAATAATACATTTAATCCTGATGAAGCAATCCCTTCCTATGATTACAACTTTATGAATATAAGATCACCAGGATAGCATGAGCCAGGGAACTTAGCCAGCCATTTTGACTCTGATTTATTGGCCAAACTATCTGGTTTGATTCGTCATAATGATGAAGCTAATGGGTCAATTTTTAAATGCTCATATTATATTGGCTTGTATAGATATAGTCATGGTAGTTTTAGCCACAAGTTGATGAGTTTTCACACTCATTGTTATCCTAAGAGGTGAAAAAAATTGTTTTCTTCAAATTATTTAAACTGTTTATTAAGAAAATAAAGAATTATATTCCTATAACACATTTTAGGAGTGTCATGATCAATAGGAAAGTATAATACCCTGTCCTGAAATAAAAATACAGACTTAGTCAGTAGATTCTATATTTATTTTATGTCTTGTTGATATTATTTTCCGATTTCTTTTTCAGACATGGTTGAATGATTTGGCCTTGGAAATGAAGAAAACTTTGGAACAGTTGTTGAAGGAATGTGTTACTACTGGGCGAAGTTCTCAAGGTGCAGTTGACCCATCTCTGTTCCCTTCACAGGTAAGAGGGCTTATATGTAGAAGGAACATAGGCATGGTATGTGGGAAGATCCCTGACCTAGGAGCCAGGAGGCTCAGATAAATCGCATCTGTTTTCTCCCTTTATCTAACAGTTAACGGACAAATTGCTTAACTTTTGAGTCTCTGTTCCTTCAGCTGTAAAGTGTGGGGGATGAATTGAGATCCAAGCAACCTAGGCCAGTGGTGAGTAGGATGGGGAGAAGGGAACCAGGCATCTAATAGCTTCCTGGTTCCAAATGATTAGTCCATCATGATGGAGAGGCACAGGATCTATAACACTGCTGTACCCTACCCGTCCACCCCTCCCATGGGATCATCTAAGCATTGGAGCTGGCAGGAACTTAGCAGGTATTAGTGTACATCTGAAACAGTCATAACACTAAACTAATATTGACAGTGAGAGTGAGGTCATATGATGAGTTACAGAGATTGCTGCAACTCAGGGTTAATAGACGTTCATCCCTGAACACTGGGTACTAGATATTTAGCTTACAAAATTTGTATCAGTCTATATCAAAATGTGGCACTAAGACTTGTGTTAAACATCCTGCATTGTTTAATAGTTGGGCCAGACTAATGTTACAGGTGTAGGTCATCAGGAACTTTAGTTCTTAGGGACTGTGGATGGTAGACATTGGGATGTTTCATGATGTCTCAGAAAAATCTACCCAGCAGCTCTCAAAGTTATTTGCTTTTCAAATAAAAAAAAATGTGGTGGCTGTTGGAACAGGTTTTTACGTTGATTTTCTTACTATATGGAAGCTTGGAACAGTTTACATTCTGAACCATTTTCTCATACATGCCATTTGTATCTTTTAGCATTTTAAGGCAAACTGAAAAGTTTCAAAAAAGGCTCAAGTTCCTAAAGAAAAATACAAGTAATCATCACTGAATAATCAAAGCCATTGTAGAACCAGAGTAGACTGCTTTATTACCACTAAAAATATTCCCTAGTACTCTGTCAACTTCCAGATAGGATTTATAAATCAACTTAGAATAAAAGACACAGTATAAAAAAGTCTACAAAAGCAATATTGTGTAATATTTGGGTTAGGGAAATGACAATTGTGTCAGGAGATATAGTGGGAGATAATAGGCTAAAGAAAATTGTTGGATTTCAGCCTGCAACTTACCTCCAGGCCCTTGAGCAGTCAAGTAAAGGTGTGAACTACTAAACATGTAAATAGTTCATTACTAAAATAAAGAACTCTAGTTTATTAGCAGTTAATGCTAGGAAATAATGATCTCAAGAGTTTTACATAAGGGGATTGAGTCACATAATTGGTTATTAGGTACTGATAATTCAGTTACTTTTTTTTGTATGGACCTGAAATAATGGTAGAGAGGGCGCTTTCTGGTCTGCGAAGGAGGCAGTGTGGTAAAGTGGAAAGAATCTGACTTTGGTTTAAATACTAATCTTTGCCAGTTATCCTGAGTAGAACATTTTGACACTTACTTTACTTACATGACTTTCACGTACCCACATTATCAAGTCATTTTGAAGGTTGTTTCATAATGTTTGCAGAGCACCCCTAGTTGTCATTACATTTTAGGTAAATAATAATATTAGTTCCTATCCAGCTGTCTTAACAGTAATGTGATTTTATAACCCAAGACTGTAAACTATAACTTTCGTTAGCCATTCACAGAAATTATGTAGCCGACTGTAAAAAATTAAGTTTATTGATATGCATTCATAATATAGAAATTCAGTAGTATTGCCTAGGATTAGGCTTGGAGGTGGCAAAAGAACATTTTCACATAAAAATCAAAGAGCAAAGTCTTTTTCTCAAAAGCAGGTTTGGTTCTCCGTAAATGCCTCATCATATACCTGATTAAAGGAGCTGATGAGTTTCATACCACAAAGTTTGTTTGGGCGACGACTTTGCTTAGAAATGAGTTACTAATTGGCTTTGTCTTCCATAAAAGAACCATAATGTAATATTTATAGAATGATTTAAGTTGGAGTAAGACAGCAGCTTAGTCTGCTCTGATATGGAGTGCAGGGGTGCGATCTTGGCTCACTGCAACCTCCGCCTTTCAGGCTCAAGCAATTCTTGTGCTTCAGCCTCCCAAGTAGCTGGGAGTACAGGCATGCGCCACTATACCTGGGTAATGTTTGTATTTTTTAGTAGAGACGGGGTTTCTCCATGTTAACCAGGCTGGTCTCGAACTCCTGGCCTTAAGTGATCCGCCCACCTCGGCCTTCCAAAGTGCTGGGATTAGAGGCATGAGCCAATGCGCTCAGCCAAGGCAGATCTTAATTTAGGAGAATATTGGAATTTTGCTATTGTAGCCTTCGGTAGTATATTAAGAAATTATTTTGAAATGGTAAAGATTGCCCTTTTACTAATTAGAATGCATCATACTTTGATATCTTTGTAGTTTACTGGTTGAAAAGCAGCCATTTCTGAAGAGAGGGGAAGAAAATACAAAGGCTTTGAGGTTGCAATAAACATAGTGAGTTATAGGACCAGAAAAAAATAGGCTGGTGGTAGAGTATAGTATGAAATGAGTTCTGTGAAGTAGGCTTGGCTGCATCATACAATGCTTTTTCTACTACTGTTATTACTCTATTAATATTTAAGGTTCCAATATGACATTAAGATGGAGATATCCAATATACAATTGGCAATTTGAAAAAAAGATGTCTTTCTTTAAATTTATAAAACATTTCTAAGTAAATTCACCTTTTAAAAATATGTTTTTTCTTTATTCAATAGATTTTATGCTTGGCGGAGCAGATTAAATTCACTGAAGATGTAGAAAATGCCATTAAAGATCATAGTCTTCATCAGATTGAAACACAACTGGTGAATAAGTTAGAACAATACACTAACATTGATACAAGTTCTGAGGATCCAGGGAATACTGGTATGGAAAAAACATTCCCTTTTCTGCCTGGTTTTGGGTTATTTTTTGGTATTCTATCCTAATTTACCTATTGTGTTTTCGACTATATATCTGTGTTGGTGATTACTCGAGGAATTACAACATATATACTTAAATTTTTATAACGTACTTTGAATCAGTAATTTACTAACTTAAATAGAATATAGAAACCTTACTACCCTATAGGCTTTTTTATTCTCTCCTTTTAATATTGTAGTTGTCTTACTATTTTACATCTGCATACGCTGAAAATTCCATGAAATTATGTTATAAATTTTGCTTTTAACCATCAAAGATATTTGAGAAAACTTAGGAGGAGGACAGCAATCTTTTATATATACCTAGATGTTTACCATTTGTGTTGCCCTTCCTTTATTCCTGATGTTCCAGGTTTCCTTCTAGTGTCATTTTCCTTCTGTCTAAATAACTTCTTTTAGTGTTTCTTTTGGAAAAGGTGTGCTGCCTGTGAATTCACATAGATTTCCTTTACCCAAGAATGTCTTATTTTACCTTTATTTCTGAAGAATTTTTCAGTGGCTATCCTGGGTTAACGATTCTTTTCTCTCAGCTTTTGAAGTGTTCTACTTCCATCTGAGCTATATGTTTTCTGATGAGGAATCCACAGTCATTTGAGTTGTTATTCTTCTATAAGTAATACATTACTCTTTTTTTTTTGGCAGCATTCAGGACTTTATCATATTCTTTAGTTTTTAGTAGTTTGATTGTGATATAGACACATCTTTGCATTTATTCTATTTGGGGTTGTCTCAGTTTCAATCTGTACATTTGTTTTTCACCAAAATCTGGGAAGTTTTTAGCTCTTATTTCTTCAAATACTCTTTCTGTATTATAGTCTTTCTCCTATACTTCTGAGTTTCTCATGACATGAATGTTAGACTTTTTGACATGGGCTTAGATCTCTGAGGTGCTGCCTTTTTTTTTTTTTTTTTAATTTTTTCTCTTTATTAGCCTGCACAATTTCTACTGCTCTGTCTTCAAGTTCACTGCCTCTTTCCTTTATTATTTCCATTTCAATATTGAGTCCATTCAGTGATTTTCAAAGAATTAAGAATTTAGTATTTTTCAGCTTAAAAATTTCTATTTATTTATATTTTTTATTTCTTTGCTGAGATATTCTGTCTTTCCACTTGTTTTAAAAGTCTTCATCTTTTACTTCTTTTACTTCTTAGAGCACTTTTATAATAGGGCTTTAAAAGGCTTTAAAGTATTTTTTTTTTTTGGAGGGCGGGGACAGGTTCTTGCTCTGTTATCCAGGCTGGAGTGCAGTGGTGAAACTGTGGCTCACTGCAGCCTTGACCTCCTGAGCTCAAGCAGTTTTCCCACCTCAGCCTCCTGTGTAGCTGGGATTACAGACACGTGCCACCATGCCTGGCTGACTTTTTTATTTTTTGTAGAGACATGGTTTTGCCATGTTGCCCGGGCTGGTTTCAAACTACTGGGCTCAAGCAGTCCTCCCGCCTCGGCCTCCCAGAGTGTTGGGATTACAGGCTTGAGCCTCTTTGCCTGGCAATAATAGTACTTTAAAGTCTTTTGCAGATAACCTCAACGTGTATGTCATCTAGATACGGGTACCTATTATTGTCTTTTCTTATGTGAATTGAGATTTTCTTGGTTCTTTGCATGTTGAATAATTTTGGATGATATCATGGACATTTTGAATATTATGTTATGAGGGTTTGGGTTTTGTTTAAATCCTCTGGAGAATATTGATATTTTTGTTTTAGCAACTCATCCTGTTGGGTTCAGACTGCAAGTTGTAGCCGGCTTTCTGTGGGTTATGGTTCTGTTGTCAGTCTGTTTTCAAATCTTTGCAGTGCTATTTCAGTCTGTCCCTCATGTGTTCCCTAGTAGCCAATTCTAGTCTTTGGTTTCTGATTAGAATGAGATCTATTCATGCACCACCCCTTGGCAATGAGTCCAGGAGTTCCTAAAGAAGTTTATGGGGTTATTTTTTCAATCTCCTTCTTCTCCTTGATCTTCCTGGCATTTTATGGTTCCCTCAGCCTTCTGGTTTGTTTCTCTGGCCAGAAAGCTGGGGTTCATGTACTTTATTTTCTTGCACACTTTTGTGCAATTTGGGTTTGCCTACTCTCTTGGGATCACAGCTCCTCTGGAGTTTTAGGGACTTCTGGGTCCCAGCTGCCAGTGGGATAGCTAGCAGAAGACCCCTTTCCTTCTAAAGCTTGAGCTAGAGGTGGTCTTCTAGAGCTCTCTCTACACCAATTTGGGTTTCTGGCTGCATTGGGTATGGTCCTAGGGTTCCCAGAACGGGGGAAAAAGACAATGGTAAATCCACCACTGGTTTGGTGTCACTTCTAATTCTGGTCTTCCTCAATTTGCCTGCTACTCTTTTCAGAGTTCTAAATAGCAGTTCAATGTATGTTGTCCAACAGGTTTTTATGCCTGCATTCAGAGGGAGAAGCGGGGTGAAATGTGCTTACTCCTTTGAATAAACTGAAACTCTTTTTTCTTGGAATTTTGATATCTTAATTTTTATACTCAAAATTCTTATTTCTTACTAACTAGTGGATTTGACTTTTTTAGCTTATGTGATTTGTATTACTATACCATTCATATGCATCATGAAATTACCATTTAAATTCATTGAGAACTCACCTGTACACATAATCATAAATTATAGAAATCACAGGCTAACATTTTCTCCAACTGTCAATATTTTTATTTGTGCCTAGAATCGGGCATCCTGGAGCTTAAACTTAAAGCCCTAATTCTTGACATTATCCATAATATTGATGTGGTAAAGCAGTTAAACCAAATTCAAGTTCATACAACTGAGGACTGGGCCTGGAAAAAACAACTTAGATTCTATATGAAAAGTGATCATACATGTTGTGTTCAAATGGTGGATTCTGAATTTCAGTATACTTATGAATATCAGGTATGAGTTGTGGCAGTGTTTTATATTGCCAATTAGAAATTATTTACTTTAAAGGAAATTTGTTATTGGTAGAAATACTTTTTTATGTAAGTAGTAATTTTTCCATAATATTTTTAGTATTATTGTCTTGTTTAATCAGAATTAGAAAGGTGTCACATAAGAGTGAAACTTCATTCTAGATACAAAAAAGTTAACATGTTGCTAGTATTGTACTGAATTCTCAAAAATGTACCTTTACTTGGAGTTGCATTTATATACAATTTGAAATATATCTTCGTCCAAGGTGAACTGAATATAGACAACCTCAGTCGAAGCAATTTGGTTTGTGTCTCCTTATACAAGGCAAAAATTAGTGTAATTTTAACTATGCTAAAATGTTTGCTAAATATTTTTTAGTTTGTACAATGAAAAAATTTTCAGACAAATAACCTAGTTAATGTAACATGTTCTCAAAAATTCCAGCTGTTGCCTCTGTCTTTTTCTATCATAATGAATGGATCATCAAAATATATTTACAATATTGTTAATAAACCTATGTTAGGAGAGCTGCCAATTGACTTTTTCAAAAGGGAAATGTATTTGAGACCCAAATCTATCTACCTAAATCGAGGAAAAACACACCGTAAATTGTAGCTGGAATGGGAGTCTGTTTTCCCTACAGTTTAGTAGAAACTTTGAGAATTATTTGATAAATTAAAATGATTAGTTTCATAAGAATTTTTCAAATTAATTACACTTGGTGATCTCCAAAATAGTTCTGATTTGTGGATATCACAAGAGTCAAGGAAATAGTTTATATAAATTTTAAAATATGAAATGGGATGATTACTGTATAATAATTTTGGATTTGTTTTCCTTAGAAGTGTATTTTGTGCCATTAACAAGAACTTGAGAAACAATTTTGAAACCTAACAATGTACTGAGTATAGTATGAAATACTTTCTTGAAAAATAAGTTTAATTTCAGTTTGTGTTTAGAAAGCTTCTTCCACTAGAAAAAATTTTGGATATTTTTCTATGGTAAAAACTTTAACCTGTTTGTGGTACTTTTATCTTTTTAACTAGGATCTCATGCTGCAAAAATATTTGTAAATGTTGAATAGAACATGAATACTCTGACTTTGTGTTGCTCTTATATAGGGTAATGCTTCCAAACTGGTTTATACTCCATTGACAGACAAGTGCTACTTAACACTCACTCAAGCTATGAAGATGGGACTTGGAGGAAATCCTTATGGACCAGCTGGAACTGGGAAAACGGAGTCAGTAAAGGCTTTAGGTGGACTTCTTGGAAGACAAGTTTTAGTCTTTAATTGTGATGAGGTAAAATAAATAATTATCAAAACATGTAACAATGGGTTAATCATATTTAGATTAGTTTCTATTAGTATACGAAATACTCTACTTAAAAATCAGTACATTTAAATTACTTGAAGACAGAATTTGTTTAAACTGAAATGTAAAATGGACAGAGGTTGTACATAGTGTAGTCCAAAACTTTTCTAAGAACTATGGCAAACAAATAATTTTAAATACAGAATGAATATTTATATTACATTGTAGACAGATGTTTTAGTAAAGAGAATAATACAAAAGGAAAAATCTATTCATTTCAGATGGCAGTTTTAAAAACATTTTGTATATAATTTGTATTTTGACTTAAAGAGTAACTAACACAAAATCTTGTATTTGTTCTGTAAACTTTTTAGAACACTTTCACATGCATTATTTTGTTTATCCCTTGAAATCAACCTGGGTTTTGAAAGAGTAGCTACTTAATCCCTATTTTAAAATGAGCAAAAGAAGCATGGATGGGTGAAATTGTTACCTTATCAATAAGTGACATTAAATATTAAGTAGTTAGGGAGATTTTAATTATTTTTAAATGAATATCATTTTTATTGTTGTTTTTAAGGGCATCGATGTGAAGTCAATGGGACGAATATTTGTTGGTTTGGTGAAGTGCGGGGCCTGGGGTTGTTTTGATGAATTTAATAGGCTGGAAGAATCTGTACTGTCAGCCGTTTCTATGCAAATCCAGACAATTCAAGATGCTTTGAAGAATCATAGAACTGTATGTGAACTGCTTGGCAAGGAGGTATAGCATATGTTGGGAATTTAAAGAATTAAAATATTTTATAAGACTTGATATTACTCATACTCAAGCAATATTCTCTTTTTATTTCTCCTGACACCCATGTTTCTAATCTGTAACCTGTGTGATAAGCTTTTTTAGCTATAAAATGTTTCTGACGTTTCTTACCCTTTTTTGGTCCTACTTTCATTATTCTTTCTTTTTTTTTTTTTTTTGAGACAGAGTTTTGCTCTTGTCGCCCAGGCTGGAATGCAATGGTGTGATCTTGACTCACTGCAACCTCCGCCTCCCAGGTTCAAGCAATTCTCCTGCCTCAGCCTCCTAAATAGCTGGGATTATAGGTGCCCGCCACCACACCCAGTTAATTTTTGTGTTTTTAGTAGAGATGGGGTTTGATCATGTTGGCTAGACTGGTATTGAACTCCTGACCTCAGGTGATCCACCCGCCTCTGTCTCCCAAAATGCTGGAATTATAGGCGTGACCCTGTGCCCAGCCCATTATTCATTTTTAAACTTTCCATTTTGGATAATTCAGTTATAGTAATATTTATATTGTTGTATTATATATTATGCTATTATCTGTGCTGACATTGCTCACAGTGCCTTAATGTATTGTCTCATTTAATAATTACCACAACCCTTTGAAGTAGGTGCTATTAGTTTTTTCCCTGCTTTGTGGATGAAGAAACTAAGACTTCGTAAGTAAGAGTAAGAAGTGGAGCTAGGAATTGAACCCAGGTCTGTCTAATTCTGAGCACAAGTTTTTTGTTTAATTTTCAAGCATAGGAGCAGAATGAAGCACATGTTTTTCATCATTATTCTATATGAATGTTAAAACAACAAACACTTAGCTATTTTGTTCCTCACTTCTCCCCATAGGAGATATACATTAATGTCACTAGAATATAAATTCATTTGTACAGAAAATGTACACTTTTTTATATAATGTGGATTGCTGAATACAGAAAGTTGTAAGAGCTAAGAAATTATCATGTTGTATAAAATAACATCTTCACAGTACGAATTTTTCTAGGTAGCTCAAGAAAGTAAGACCAGTTCTAAATTAACATGTTATTTATGTGATGTTTAAACTCTTCACAAAGAAAAAGAGGAGAACCTATTCAGTGAGAATTACCTGCCATGAAGATTTAGTTTCTTCTACATTCACTTTTTTTTCTTCTCTTAGAAAGAGTTACCTTTTCTCCCAACCAATACTAATCTTTTCACCTGTGCTTTGGAATACTCTTCCCCGGGACCTTATTATCCCTCGTGCTATCGCTTCAATCTTCCCTCCTTTACCAGTTCTTCATCAGGTTTTAAACATAATCACATCTTTTTCATCTTAATAATAACTAAAACATAAACAAACCTTCCCTGATTCATACTTCCTCTTTCTCTTTTCTTTCCTTTATAGCTAGATTTCTTGGTTTTTCTACTCTAGATGCTTCTACTTACTAATTGCCCATTCGTTGTTTACACATTCTAATTTAGCTTCTATTCTTAGGGTTTTGCTGAAAATCCTCCTACTAAGTGCTATTATCACATTCAGTTCTTCCCTGCCATAATATTTATTACGTTATGATTGCCTCTCTGTAATACCAGATAGACTCTGAGCTCCAGAGTGGCTTAAACCATTATTTAGTTCAGTTGTCTCTGTGTACTTAACAAAGTATTTAGTACTAAGAGGGCTTTTAGTAAACATATATTTAATGTATAAATAGATAATTAAATTAGTATCTCTTAAACATTCAACCTCAAAAAACTGATTATAAATAAGCTCTGCAAAGCAGTGTGGGTCCTAAGGAATTTATCATATATTGAGTAAGGAGATGGTGAGTACATTGAAGGTTACCTTTAGCTAAGGTATAAGATTTGTATGTAGTAATATGTCAATAAAATTTCTGTTGGCAGTATATTTTATATTTATAGTTTCAAATATAAATGATGCCTGTATGTTAAATATTTTATTCAATTTAATATTAAATATTTAAATTAATATTTCAGGTAGAAGTAAATTCGAATTCTGGAATTTTTATCACTATGAATCCTGCTGGAAAAGGTTATGGAGGAAGACAAAAACTGCCTGATAATCTTAAACAGCTTTTCAGGCCTGTAGCTATGTCTCGTCCAGACAATGAGCTTATTGCAGAAGTTATTCTCTATTCGGAAGGCTTTAAAGATGCTAAAGTATTGGGCAGAAAATTGGTAGCTATTTTCAATCTATCTAGGTGAGTTTTCTTGTTCTAGATATTTTTACATTTTCCATTTTTAATGATTGATTATGGTTATTAGTGATCATTTTCATATTTTCTCAATTTCCCTTTTCCATTATTTTTATTCTGATGATTTTATTGTAATTATGGTGTAGATATGAAAGGCTTTAGTGTGCACAATAAAAATATTGGGTTCAAAACTACTTGCTTTTCATAAATATTATTAATTTGATCAGTTTTTTTCTTCAAAATGTTTATATTAGAGTGCTTCAGCTAAATATTTCTTATTGAACTAATTTACCAGCTGACCACACACAAGCTACTGTTCTTCGGAAAGAATCCTTCACAATTTTTCTTATGTCTTATTTCTGGTAATAGAAACTGACATTTACTTTCTTTGGGAAAATGTACAATTCTGTTCCATATCACTTAAGAGATAATGGTAAACTAGACAGTGGCAGAGATTGAGAGCAAGATGGATTGATTAAAGGCTTTAGGCATAAGGGTAGCAGGTAATTGTCATTTGGTATCTTCATTAAGATAATTAACTTATTCATAAAAGCTTTATCTTACCCTTGAGAACCGTCCATCTTTAACAGCTTACTTGAATGATTATTTTGTGTGGTTGGTTCCCTTATATAAATTAATGGGATATCACCATTCATTTCTAAGTGTCAGTAGTTATATTCTGTATTTCTTTGGACGTGATGATGAAAGTAATTTCTTCTAGCTATTTGATGCATTGATTTCCACGTCTCTACTTCAGGGAACTTTTGACACCTCAGCAACATTATGATTGGGGTTTGAGAGCTTTGAAGACAGTCCTGAGAGGAAGTGGAAATCTTCTTAGACAGCTAAAGAAAAGTGGCACTACACAGAATGGTATGATTGATTGTTCCAAATACATTAACTTATTTTTAAAAACATAAACATTAATTTAGAATAGTTTGAGATTTACAGAAAAGTTATAGATACAGTATTAAGGATTACTGTATACCCTGCCCCAAATTCTACTGTTGTTAACATCTTCCATTAGTATGGTATATTTGTCACAACTAATGAACCAATTTGGATACATTGTTTTTAAACTAAATTTCCTACTTTATTCAGGTTTTCTCCAGTTTTTACCTGATGTCTTATAATAACTTTTAATGTGTGTTAAATATGAAAGAGTTGTAATATGTAAAGTCCACTTGTTCTTTAACTTTAATATCCTTTAGAATCACCTAGTGGCTTGTTAAAACAGATTATTAGACCCCACCCCCAAAGGTCCTGACTCAGTAGGTGTAGAGTAGAGCCTGATAATTTGTCTTGTCTTGAAACAAGAACAGAAACCTTAGAAACACATGTAGGATTTTCTCTTTCTAAAGCTAGTATATTATGATTAGACTAGGTTATAAATGTTTGGAAAGAATACCACAGAGGTGGGCTGTCTTTCTTACTGCGGCATATCAGTGGGTATATAACAACCATCTGACATCACTAGTTATGTTAACCTTCATCACCTGGCTATGGTCGTGTTGCCAGGTTTCTCCAATGTGAAGCTGTTATTTTCTACCCTCCTGACTTTATTCTTTGGAATCATGTTAATAAATCTAGCTTACTCTCAAAGTGGCGAGGAAAGGATTAAGCTCCACTCCTTGGTGGGGTAGTATCCGCATATATTATTTGAAATTCTTCTGTAAAGAAGATTTGTCTTTTCTGCCTCATTTATGTATTCATTAACTCATTTATTTAGCTCAATACAGACTTATATATATTTGTTATACTTTTCTCAGATGAAATAAATGGTTTTTTATTCACATAAAAATAATGATTTCCCGCACCTGTGCAGGTGTACATTCATGAAAGCCTGAATAATCAGTTTCTTCAGGTTGCTATTGAAAAGTAAGTTAAAATACTATGAAAATAGAGACAACATAGAAAAAAGGACCACATGAAATTACCTCTTTGGACTTTAAATGATCAAAGTGTGCCTCTTAAAAATGGCCTCTACATTAGCTGTCTTATTAGGTTGGCATATGCCTGGGTAGATACAGTTATTTTGTGAGTGCTTACATTACCATTTTTTAGTTGTCTATATTTGGTGATTTTTAATAAATATTTAAACCATATCTGTAATAAATAAAGATGGCTTATGAGTTCAGTGCTTGAAATAAACTTTAGAGAAGTCCAGACTTTTTATGTATACTTAAGCATGAAAATATTAAGCAATTATAGAGGAATGCCAGGCAATAGTTTCTTTGATTTTGTGTATCTTACCAATCAGCAGCTAATATCTGTGAAAATAAGCATCTGGCAGTGGTATCAGTATTTGCATTTGGCTTAAGAATGGGTTTGTGAACCAAGTTTGAACAAGGCCAATCAAAGATTGTTGCTCAGTTTGTTAGTTGTTTATCTTAGGACATAAGCTGTGAGATGATATTGGTGTCTTTGGAGAGGTACCTGAATTTGGAATTAGTTTATCTGGAATTGAATCCCAGCTGTGATACTGCTGTGCCTTCTCAGAAAGTCACTTAAACCTTCAGAGACTTAACATTCTCAGGTGTAAAATTGGAATAATAATAGTAATACTTTTTAGCCTACTTTATAGGGTTGTTAAAAGGATTACATCATATAATATAAAAGGTGAAGTACTATGAAAATATAAGTGATAATGATTTTTATTATTAATTAAAGTCTTGGTACCCTGTGATTTGAATTCTATGGAAAAGAGTTTATAACTACTTAGTGATATTTACTTTTTAGCAGTCAAAAGATACTAAAGTAAGCTTGCCAATTCATGTGATGTAACGTCTTTAAATGTTACTAAATTCTAGTGCATTTAATGATTAATAATACATATCAAGGCTATAGAATATTTAAAAACTTTTGTCATCATTAAAGTAATAATAAATAATTTTAAAATGAAACTTTTTTCTAGCTAATGAAAGTCATATTGTGGTACAAGCACTGAGGCTTAATACAATGTCAAAGTTTACGTTTACTGATTGCACCCGGTTTGATGCACTGATTAAAGATGTCTTTCCTGGAATTGAATTGAAAGAAGTGGAATATGATGAACTAAGTGCTGCATTAAAGCAGGTCTTTGAAGAGGCCAATTATGAAATTATACCCAATCAGGTAACTGTCAAGAATATTTTATAATAGATTGATCCTTTTTTCTAGTTGATTCCTTATTAACTATCCTTGTCCTTCATCTTTCAACTTATCTTTTATCTTTCAACTTAGATCTCACTTGCTCAGGGAAGTCTTCCCAGATCTTCAAGTCCTGATTTGATCTTCTTGCTATGTGCTCTTATCATATATTCTTGTTTCAAGTGTGTGTATTTGTTTAGTATTGATTCTCCTCCACCATATAGTAATCTCCATGAAAGGCAGGATCCATGTGTGTGTGTGTGTGTGTGTGTGTGTGTGTATATATATATATATTTTATATATATATTTTGCGACAGAGTCTTGCTTTGTCACCCAGGCTGGAGTGCAGTGGTGTGATCTCGGCCCACTGCAACCTCTGTCTCCCGGGTTCAAACAATTCTCCTGCCTCAGCCTCCTGAATATCTGGGATTACAGGTGCACACCACCACACCTGGCTAATTTTTATATATTTAGTAGAGATGGCGTTTCACCATGTTGGCCAGGCTGGTCTCGAACTCTTGACCTCAGGTGATCTGCCCACCTCAGTCTCCCAAAGCACTGGGATTACAGGCCTGAGCCACCGCACCTGGCCATCCATACATATTTTTGCTCACCATTTTATTTCTAGTGCCTGTTAGAGTACGTAGTGTGTAATGGATTCATCATATATATGTATTTTATAATTGATTTATATATATGATTTAGTTTCACTTTGATAATTTGTTAGGATTTTTTTAAGCGGGTTTCTTTATGTAGTGCAAGTAATTGTTCAAAATTAGCACTTTGCCCTCAGTTTTGGAGAGAAGTAAGATAAGACTGAGTGAATGGATAAATAAGTGAATAAAATAATGAATATATTTGAATGAATGAATGAGTGGAGCAAGTAACGAACGTATTGTTCATACAAGTTTTTTGAACTTAGAAACTTGGAAAGCACCTTTGCTTCTTTTAAAGAAATATTGAAGTATTTAAAGATTATATTGTAAATATGTTCAGATTTATTTAGGTATTCTGTTACATTTTAGGCTATGTCTTCCACTGAAGAAATCAAAGGCTTAATTTACACATTAGAACAAGTGTTACAGAATAAAAGCAGAACTAAGTGTCATTAGATATTGTAAATCATATAAGAACATAATTCTTTCCCACTAGATCAAAAAGGCTTTAGAATTGTATGAACAGTTATGCCAGAGGATGGGAGTTGTTATTGTTGGTCCAAGTGGTGCTGGAAAATCAACCCTTTGGAGAATGTTAAGGGCCGCACTTTGTAAAATTGGCAAAGTAGTGAAACAATATACTATGAATCCCAAAGCTATGCCTCGATATCAATTATTAGGCCATATTGACATGGACACAAGAGAATGGTCTGATGGTGTTTTGACAAATAGTGCTCGTCAAGTGGTTCGAGAACCTCAAGGTTAGTCTCCATGTATACTTCTTTGTTTTACTTAGTAATTCTTAGATAATGATATAATTTGTCTATAATTCTGTCTTTATCAAGGCTTCTACATGACCATAAAGTCGTAATTAAGTTATAATGTGTACATTTGATATTTTACTTTGGAGGGGACCAAGAAATGCTATCTTTTCAGTTAAACTCTGTAACTATTTTTAATATAGTAGAAACTTAGAGTAAATTGGGTGAATTGTAATTCACAACTAGATTAATTTACTGAACGATTATAAAATCTTTACTGCATTTATATTATAATGCCTGAGAAATAAACAAGATAACAGATTTTTGTATGGGGTTAAAATAGATGTGTATGAACAGTATTAACTCATTAGTTTGAATAAAGTATTTTGAATACTTTTGAAAATTTAAGTGGTAAAACTGCAGATTTCCTGGTCTAAATTTGTTGACTTGGTTTTTTAAGAGAATTTTTGGCTGGAATCAGAGGAGATTCCCTACTTTTTGCCAGGTTATAATTTAATTAATAATTATTTTTCTAAGGCAGTAAGTGAAAGCATTGGAAGGGATTTTTCAATGTAGTCTTTTCTTTTTCTATATAATACCACATTAAGTAAAGGCCAGTTATTACCTTCATGTATTTCTCACACTTTTATCAGTGAAATTTTCCTCTTTGAATTGTTTCAAAGGTCCAAGTATAGTATTAACCACTCCCATTTTAGGAAAGATGGTAAAAAAAGGTTTAACCCTGGAAAGACTAGTTATACAATTGGTCACTACTTTTCCCCCTTTGAGGTCACCTTTTTATATGTCAAGAAAATTTGACAGTGGTGAACTTTTTATTTCTCATGCAAGGCACTGGAAATTGGATTTTTCTGTATTTTCTAAAAGACATACAACAGAGCAAGCCTTTGTACATTCTCATGACATAGTAGAAGACACAAGTCTGAAGAATATCTTGTGGGAATAAAAATACTTAAGCCTTGCATCTTTTTAAGTGAAATTGCCTATTTTTATGTTTATAGATAAAGTATTATTACATGATATATATCTGAGTCTTTGGCCAGCTGAGCCAGGATTGCCTGTGTGTTCTCCAGCATATTTACAGTACAAATTCATATGAAAATCAAGAATTGATTTAGTCCTTATTTTTAATTATTATCACAGCATCTATTTTTATTTTATCTCTGCTGTTTTGATTTGAATATAGATGTCAGCTCATGGATAATCTGTGATGGTGATATTGACCCTGAATGGATAGAGTCTCTGAATTCTGTTCTGGATGACAATCGACTACTCACTATGCCCAGTGGAGAAAGGATTCAGTTTGGCCCAAATGTTAACTTTGTGTTTGAAACTCATGATTTAAGTTGTGCCTCACCAGCCACAATATCTAGAATGGGAATGATCTTTCTTAGGTAAGCCATAGATTATTTGTATACATTATATTAGAATATTCTTCTTTCATTATCCTGGCTTCATATTAAGTAAAGTAAGTGTGATGTGAATAATGAATAATTATTTTTCCCATTTATGATTAACTTCTTTTTTGTTAGATTTTAATTAACTCAGAGAGTTCCTGTTTTATTACAAAATTGAATTATTTTAGCAGTTTTAGTTATATCACAATTATGAAATAATTATTATTTTTGTTTAAATGAAACAGCAAGAAAATTTGTTCTCTTTATTATTTTGTTGAGGTATTTTGATTGAGTTCAGAGAAGTGAACATATTAATTATGAGCTAGAGGCTAATAATTTAAAGCTAAGTAGCAATATTTTAATTATAGAATTTAATTAATTTAATCTATTTAATTTTAGATTCATAGAATTTTAGGGCTAACTCAGGTTTTGTAGGTCCTGTGACCCAGTCTTTTCATTTTACAAATTGAATACCTCTTTACTTAATATTTTTTTCTTCTTCAGTATATTTGGAAGAGGCTTCAAGACTGAAAATGAATAATAAACCAATTTTAGATATCATGTAAAATAGTCACATACCAGAGCATGGATATTTGCACCAATTTTATTTTTGAAAATTAGTAATATCATAAGTAAGAAACTTTTATTTAACTTTTCCAATTAGTTACTTATCATCCTGTATAGCATTTAATTTTTTTAGGACTATTTAAAGTCATTTTAGGTATTGTATGACACATGACAATGTAATAAAGTTGGTTCAAATCATGTTTTGAAATTATCTAGTTGCTTACTTCTTTGACAGTATTGTCGGAAACATTTACTTTAAATTAGCCAGAAACTTCAATTGATATTTTGAGGTATTATTAAACGATAATATAATTTTGGGTTTACAGCTTTCATAGCAGCATTGACACACAATTTATCGTATTTATTAGTTGTGTTCTTATAATCTTGTGAGAAAAATAGAATAAAGGTAAGTTTTTGGTTAAATTTTAAACTACTTGTTAAATATTATATATATGGTATTAAACTATGCACCTTAGGAGAGAGAGAGCTGGAAACGAGTAAAACTAATATTTATAGAGAGCTTACCTTTTTGGAAAATACTTGCACATAGAGGAGGGAAAATAAACCAACATTTATACAAGATGGAATATAAGTGAACTAAGCAGTAAGTAGAATACTATACATATTTAGCAGAAAAAAAGACCACATATTTCTGTAGAGGAGTTGAAAATCGTTGGTGAATCAGGTATTGTGAAAGGCATAATGAATGTATATGATTTCATGTAAAATACAAATACATATTAACTTTTTTGTTGCTATGTGTTCAGCTTATATCTTAGTTTTAGGCTTCATTTATTCCTTTAACAGATATTTGTTGAGCACTTGCTATGTGATAGGCCAAATGTGGACCTTTTAATACTGAAATGAATGTTATTATTAATGATGCTGGGACTGCTGGTATGAAGCAGGGTTGTGTTGGATAAACCAAGACATATAGTCTCATAGACATTGAGATAATACCATTGGTAAGAAACTCTTTATTCTGAAGGAGCTTACTTTGGGCTAATCTAATGTTATTTAATTGTTATCCTCTTTGATGTTTCAGTTTTTTTTTTTTCATATTAGACTGGATAGAAAATGTGAGAGCAGAGATTCAAGGCATCAGTGTCATTTGTTAATTGCTATGAAACAATGGTAGAAGATACGAATAAATGACAAAAATGATGAGCTCTTGTCAATTCTATAATAATATAAATTATTTTTACTATAATTTTTTATAATTATGTAAGGTATAATTTTGAATAAGATGTGAATATTATTTCACCAATTGGATTTTGGTGAAATAATTGGATTTTGCCCAGATAGTGATGTGCTTTGCTAAAGGATTTATAGTTTGCTTTAGGAAGATCTTTAAATTTTAATAGTGGCATGGGAATTTAGGTAGTTGGATTTTTGTAGGATAGAGAAAAAATATTTCTAAAGATCTGTATTACAGTTTAGATCAGTGCGTTTTAAACTGTAATGTGCATTTGAATCACTGAGGGATCTTATTAAAATGCTGGAGAGGGATTTGGGATTTTACATTTCTAACAAACAGACCACTCTGAGTAGGAATGGTTTAGACCACTTTAGGCTACGTAGAGCCTATGTAGAGTAGGTTGTGTAGATATATAATTCTTACTTAGTTTATACTTATAATAAAATAGATGAAATTTGTTTTATAGAAAATGACATATATGTATATATACCTATATGCATGTGTGTTTGCATATATTATGTGTATACACACACAGATATAACTATTATTCACACATACACATAGTAAAGTAAAGCCACTTGTTGTATGCTAGCAGACAAAATATACGTGTAGAATAATGTTTATTGGAGCAGAAATTTATTTTAAGGTAAATTGATAATTTCTTCCTAACTAATTTATTTGTCTAATCTGTTTCAGTGATGAAGAGACAGATCTTAATTCTCTGATAAAATCTTGGTTGAGGAATCAGCCTGCCGAATATAGAAATAGTCTTGAAAATTGGATTGGAGATTATTTTGAAAAGGCTTTACAATGGGTTTTAAAGCAGGTAAATTAACCATAATATTTCATAATTAATGGAGGTGAGAAGTATGATTAAGAGTGATCCTTATTTTAACTGCCTTGTGGTGGAACTCTGCTGGAATGTGGGGGTGAGGTGAGAGGTGGATTTTGTCACTGATACTCCTCTATATCTCTTAGCATAACTATTGTATCTCTTAGCATAACCTTTTATTGTATTAGTCTTAAAACATTTTACTTCTTTCATAATACTTCACACTGCTTACCTAAAAGTCTTGATTACTAGAATGTCTTTCTAATTTTTACTAGCAAAAACCATCTTGCTGCCACTTTTTTACTGATATGCCAGTAAATACCTATATGTATGACATATGTATATATGATATATAGGTATTGATATACATATGTACACCTATATATACACACCTATATATACCAATAAATACCTATATGTGATATATATCCATGTATCCACATATATGTGATCTATATATCCATATATTCACATGTATGGATCTATAGATCCATGTAGCCACATGTATGCGATCTGTAGGTCCATATATCCACATGGATGCGATCTGTAGGTCCATATATCCCATATATCATATATATCATGTGATATATATGATATATGCATATATCACATGCACATGATATATGTATATATTACATGTATGTGGTATATGTATATATCGCATGTATATGATATATGTATATATCATGTATGATATATATAAGGTTAAAAACAATATGAAGTTAACACTAAAGTAGAAAAGGGATGGCAAATTATTTGCAATTTATATTTAAAGAAAACATTGAACATCTAACATATGCGAAGCATAATACAAGAGAGACTTTGAGAGGTGAAGATTAACAAGATAATTCCTTTCCTTGAGAAGGGTTTATCTAATGGAGGAAAATGACATGCAAACAGATAATCACAATTCAGCAGGATGAAAAGAATATTGCTGTCATTTAGAAGAGGTTTAAAAGGAGATCACATTTGATTTTGAATTTGAAATGTGAAAAAAGTTTAGCATGCAAAGAAGACCATGGAAGGTGTTCAGATATTCTACATGTTTATGCCATTGCTTTTATGAAAAATGAAAACATATACAAAATAGAGAGTATAAATAGCAGTGAGTTTTTTGAAAGTATCTGATTGTGAATCTGAACTTGATTTAGAGGTCAATACTTTGGGATTGAACAAGATATAGAGAAATGATGGTTTGTTTTGGTTTTCTCAACCTTTTTCTTTCCTAACTTTGTAAGAATGAAAATGGAGGAATAGAGATTTGTGAGGAAGTGATGCAAGTGAAGTAGATTTTCCTGGAGGCCTAGGAAAGGGAACACTCCCATTAGCTGCTAGTCTGACTGAGCTGTCTCCTCCTTTGTGCTTCTGTAGCAACATACAGCATCTACCAACTGTATTATAATTGTCTGCTCACATTAAACTTTAAGCACCTTGAAGGCAAGGACCAAGCTTATCACACTCTTCATTGTGTCCCCAGAACCAAGTATGATGTTAAGAGATAGCAAATGAGTGATAGTATTGTGCTTAATTATATACCTGATGCCTGCATCGTGACACCTTTTCATTAGATATGTTATTTCATTAGTATAAAACATTCAGAGCCTAACAAAGCTTTCCAATGCAGACACTTTGAGGTAATCTCTTCATAGATGTGTGAATGTTAGAATAGGAGTATCATATTAGATGGAATGTATTTATGTATATATAGGGGTTTGTGACTGTAGAAATGACAATATGATAAGATTATTAAATAATAGAGTGAATACCAAAGATTCAGCTAGGAAAAAAAAATGGCTTATGTTTTGAGGTCATATCGCTGTTTGTTTGTTTTATTTAAAGTGTTAAGGGTTCTTTTCTTTTTATCCTGTATTTTGTTCACCATGCACAGGTTCTGAGGTATACTACAATGAATTCTCTAGTCAAATGCTGAAATTGTATTTATAACTAGAACTTTGCTTTCTTCCTTTTTCTCTTCTTCAGCCTATCGGGTAAATCTTTGCTTTCTTTTGTGAATTCAGCAAATAAGAAAATATAGAAGAAAATATGTACGTTTCCTTTATCTCACCTTTAAAATCTGGAACTCTTAGCATGAGTCTATCTAGATTTCTTTGTTTCTTCTCCCTTCTTCCTGCTCTTCCTCCCATTTCTTCTTTCTCCCCAAAATATTTATTTTTTAAGCAGAGGGATCCTTTTAAAATATAAACTGGGTCATTTTACTCTATTATAAAAAACATATTAAAGACAAGGCAAATAAGGTTTTTACTCCTTACCATGTCTGATAAATTCTGCACTCTGGCCCTTGCCTATTTCTCTGACTTAAACACTGTTTCTTTGCTTACTTAGGCATAACTTCTTTTAGTTCCTTAACTATGATGTTTTTCTTTGCATGTGCTATATTCTCTGCAAAAGCTTAGCCTTCAGTCTTAGCTTAAATGTCACCTGTTTTTAAAGAAGCCATGAGCCATCAATCTGAGTTACTGTTTCTGACGATATTCTGTACTGCTGCCCTGTAGCTCTTACCACAGTTTGTTAACCATTTCCTGTACTATGCTTGAGCTCCATGAAGACAGGGACTCTGTTTATTCCAGCTTTTAACAAAACAAAACAAAAACAAACCTAGCACCACATACAGATCCTAATGCATGATTGGTTCTCAGTAAATATTTATGGAAAAACTGAGAGCCATTTTTTTCTTTAACTCTCTAACACTTACCAGGTGCCCCAGAGGGGCCTACAGATCAAACCATCTACACAGCACTTAAGTCCAGAAGTTCTATTTAAAAATTCTCTCAGAGAAAGCTCCATATGGTTTTTCATTTATGTCTGCTTTTTCTAACCTTTCTTTTCTAGTGCCATCAATCTAGCTCTTGCCTCTTGTTTTCTTTTTATCAGCAAGAGGAAATGAACATCTATTCTTTTTGGAACAATGCTCATTAACTTACCTTTTTAAAAAAATATTCTTCAGGTTTAGGAAGTAAATAAACCATGTATCTATTTGAGGACTGTAGCACTGATAGCTAGAAATACACAATTGTACTTCATGATTACTTTTTATTTTCAAAGTGTATACAAAAATTAAATGAAATCCAAACTTTCTACAGTTTGAATAGTGGAGTGAGTTTAAAAATGGTTATTGAAAAGATGTGTGAACATCAGTCTGTATGGTTCTGTGTTTACTGGTTAATCTTTGCCTTTTGTCTGTCTGTATCATGGATTTTAATCAACAGAACGACTATGTGGTAGAAACAAGTTTGGTTGGGACTGTGATGAATGGTTTGTCACATCTACATGGTTGCAGAGATCATGACGAATTTATTATTAATCTCATAAGGGGACTTGGTGGAAATCTGAATATGAAATCACGTTTGGAATTTACCAAAGAGGTAATGCATATTTATAGCCTGTATTTAGTCAAAACTTTAACTTTTCATTAACTCTTACCTGCCAAAATACAATAATTTGTAACTATAAGATATGGAACATTTAAAATTTGAAATTATGTATTCAATTGAGTAATAATGTATTTATATGTGTGTATATATATATTCTTCTTTGAGTTATTTTATGATGTTTGATGATATTCTTAACATTTTATAAAATAATGTTTCATAAGTTAAAAGTTTGGACCATATCTTTAAGTTAGACATTTTTGAACCTACTTGTCTATATTAATACTTATTTCATTCATTTAAAATGTTAGAATAGTTTAGTTTTTGTCATCCTTTTAACCAGAGCAGTTTTAGGAATTAGAAATACTAGGACGAATTAATTATTAATAAATATATTCTTTAATATATGTTAAAGTTGTATTACAGCCTAGTTGTTTATAAAGCTGAATTCTAAATAATAAGGGATTTTTTTTCCTTTTGGCCTCTACTGAGATTACTGGATATTTACTCCTTTGGGTTGGCTCTAACATTATTTTTCAGTCTTTTTTCTCATTTTGCTGCTTCTTCGTTGGTGTCACCTACTGCTTTCTCTATTCCGTTTCCCTTTCTGTGACTGTCCTGTTGCCTCTGTTGCCAGATGCTTTTCATTGTTACCACTCAGTGCCATACTATATGCTGCTTTTAAGCACATACTCTCTTGTCAAAGTTCAGAATAAATGTATTGAAGAGTAGCATTAAGGGCTAACTCTGCTTTATATCTGCGTAGATAACAGTTTTCAGTATTAAAAAGAAGAATAGCAGGTGGAGAGCAGTGGTAGTGACACGGTAATGGACAGTACTAGAATATGGTAGAAATGAAGGGCTTTAGGATTTCTGCATTCTGTAATTTGTGATTTAATGTTAATAAGAACTCCATTAAAATGGAGTATATTTATACCTTAGTGTATAAATAAATATCCAGTAAGTCATTATCTCCTATATATACATTAATTTACTTGCACAAATGATCATTTAGAGAAAAATATTTGAGATAAAATGTTACATTAATGATAAAATGGGTATAGTGTATATAAACTTTTCTTGGAACTAAGATGGTTTACTTTTGGGATATTTACTTGGAATAATTTAAGAATGTCACACACTCTGGAGTATGTGAAAACTTATCACAATTTTTTCCTCTTAAGGTTTTTCACTGGGCACGAGAATCTCCTCCAGACTTTCACAAACCAATGGATACCTACTATGACTCTACCAGAGGTCGATTAGCAACATATGCGCTTAAGAAGCCAGAAAACTTGACTGCTGATGATTTCAGTAATGGCTTAACTCTTCCAGTCATTCAGACTCCTGACATGCAACGAAGTCTAGATTATTTCAAACCATGGTTAAGTTCTGATGCTAAACAGCCCTTTATTCTGGTAGGACCAGAAGGATGTGGCAAAGGGTAAGAAAAATATTGGCAAAGGTATATGTCGTGGATTTATTCCTGCCACCCCTAATTGATTTAATGGCTTTTGTTATGTTTCTTTTGGTTAAAGTAGCATTTACATTTTCATGGAAGATTCATTTTCTTTTCATTACTTGTAAAAATAAGAACTGTGGGGAATAGTGTGTCCTTTTCTTTGCCAGATTATGTGATTTCTACTGGAAAGACAGCAATCTGAGAAGATACTCTTAAAAATAATCCATCCATATAATACAGCAAAAAAAAAAAAAAAGAAAAAAGAAAAAAAAAGAAAAAGAATACCTTAGCTATACTCACATACCATTTGCTTTAGTTATAAAATTTTAAATTCGTAGTTAGATTTCTATGTAAAAGTAGCTTTTAATTCAGTGGAATTCAGCCTAGTTTTAGTGCATATGGAGCATAGTCTCCTGAAATAAAGGAAACATGGTTTATTATTTTCATATTTCTAGTGGGGGAGTAGTAATTTCAAAAATTGTATAAAATCATAGTAATTTTTTTTTAAACTCATAGAACTTAAAATCTTTCCTTCAACTGTGGGGAAACAGGGTTGGTGTATTTAATATATACTTTATCAAACTAGATTAATTGTGAGAACTTTGATTTTTTTTTGGCTGAAAACAGTCCTCACAATGCCTTAAAACATGAATTTATGTTATTTAGACTAGAAAATAGTCTAAAGGTTAGAAAGTTACTTTGATAGTTATGGAAGCCGTATCTATATTTACCATTTTCCCTATCATTATACACATTTTAGAAACTGAAATATTTATGATTCAGACATTTCTTATTGAGTATAAAATATACTTTGTTGATTGCATTTTTATCAAAGTCAGATGTCATGCATTTTTCGTAGGATGCTGCTCAGGTATGCATTTTCACAACTCCGATCCACTCAAATTGCTACAGTTCATTGTAGCGCACAAACCACTTCTCGACATCTCCTGCAGAAACTGAGCCAGACTTGTATGGTAATCAGTACTAATACTGGTCGTGTATACAGACCAAAAGACTGTGAAAGACTTGTTCTGTACTTAAAAGATATCAACCTACCCAAACTTGATAAATGGGGGACCAGTACTTTGGTAGCTTTCCTACAACAGGTAAGTCGTATTGCTTGAAGTATTTTAATCTAATTGGAAACAATTTAATTTTATTCACTTTTCTTAGAAAATATGCATTCTTCATTTGGGGCCAGTTTTGTCTAGCATTTGTCATGGAAATTAAACTCCTGAAATATTTCAGTCTTGTTCCAGTTCTTCTATGATTTTCCTTTCTTTAGAAGTTATATTATGTCAAGATGATATATGACAGGGAGAATAGAAACAACCTTCACTCTACATCTATTACTTGTCTTTTATTCCTAAAATAAGGAGGAAAACAAAAGCTGGACCTGGTAGTGGAGTTGGAGAACTTTTTGCTTCATGGTTTAAAGTATGCATTCTTCTGACAGCGGTTAGACTTGGTCATGTTTTTTTTCTGGCTGCTTTAACCCATTATTCTCCATTTTTGCCTGTGTAAGGATTTGAGATCACATATCCTGAATCAGTGTGGAATATATTTTTCTTTATGTTATTTACATCACATTGGGAACTTTAAATTCTTAGAGTTTATTATGATATAGGTCCAAATTTAGGCTTATTATGTAACTGCAGAATATGATAAAATATTTACAGAAAAAACCACATTTTCTCTCATATTTTTCCTGATACTTTCATTTTCTAGGCTAATTGCTACTCGATTTATAATATCATTGGATTTTAGTGTTTATTAGAGAGAAAAGCATTTTAAACACTAGGATAATTTAGCTAACATTCATAGAACACAGAGATTTGAACAGTATTTTTTTCAGTGATATAATAATTTCAGATACCTTTTAATCTTAAATTCTTGAGTTAGGTAGATAATGATTGCATTTAGAAACAATTGAAACTTTAGGCAAAAATATCCTTTATCATGATTAGGAAATCTTAGGTATAAAATGTTTAAAGTATATTTATTTTCAAATAGGTATTGACATATCAAGGATTTTATGATGAAAATTTGGAATGGGTTGGTCTAGAAAATATTCAAATTGTGGCTTCTATGTCAGCTGGAGGAAGACTGGGAAGACATAAACTTACTACCAGATTTACTTCCATTGTTCGTCTTTGTTCTATAGAGTATGTATCTTTGTGTTTCAAATTTTTTTTATTTGGGAAGATATCATATAGTTGAATTTTATTAAAAGTATTATAGTAATACTTTAAAATTTAGAATATAAAAATGGTCAAAGTTAAGCTCTGATATCTTTTCCTCCCCTTCTCAAAATATAGGCAATAATTTCAGATGATATAAACTTTAATCAAAGTATCTTATTTATGAGACATATAACAGGAAATAAAACAAGACTGTTTTGTGTAGCCTGTGTTCCAAAATGTCAGTCTCAGGAATCTGAATGGTGGATTTTAGATTTAAATATTTTATGCAGTTCATAAAACAAAAATACTATCAAATTTATGAAGATAACAAAAGGAGAATTTGAATCTGAACAAGGGAGAATTAGGTCATTTTAATGGCTGGTGGCATCACTGCTAATCATCTCCATGGTCCGTAATTGTTACAGAGACTATGGCAGTATCTCCTCTGTTTATATTTAATATACATTATATTATATTACAAATATTTGAATATGACAAAACCTTATGTGTATACTTTCGTGCTAATTGTACTCCATCAATTAACTTTTTTTTTCTAGAAATGTTCCTGCTGCCAGTTAAACCATACTGAAATATATTTTTTGGTTTGGTAGAAAGGGGTTGATTTTATTTGTTGTATTAGTTTTACTTTTATGGTTCTGAGGTGGATTAATGCCCTGTGTACAGGCCTTGTGTAATTCAAAAATGCTTTTCAAAGGAAAAATTTCCTTTTGGTCTTTTCTAAAGATCAGTGTTTTGTAAACAATTATGTTTTAACATAATTTCTTGGGCGTTCTCTAACACCTTCTGGTAGTTGACAATGGATATTTCAGGATATAATTTGGTTGAAATGAGAATGGATGGGGGCAATGAGCCTAGTCTTAGCCCCTGGGTAAGCTTTGGAGATATGTAGGTCTCAGAGCTTGAAAATCACTGCTGTAACTTAACATTGAAATATTAATTTGAAATATTGATTTATTTCAGCTTTCTTCTTATATGCCCCTTTTTTTTTAGTTACCCAGAAAGAGAGCAGTTACAAACGATTTATGGAGCATATTTGGAACCAGTTCTACATAAAAATCTGAAGAATCATTCTATTTGGGGTTCTTCATCAAAAATTAATCTTTTAGCAGGATCTATGGTACAAGTGTATGAACAGGTAGATATGCATCTAAATTGTAGCTTTCATGTCTATTAGTATCATTCCTAAAGGTCTACTTTTAATTCTGACCTCTGTGTCGATACCCAGGCTTTACTTTCCTGTTTATTAGACTTTTCTAGTAGAGAGTAACTCTATGAAGACAGGTGCTGTGTGTGCCTTATTCGCTGTTGTATCCATGGCACAATTTCTAATAGGCACCCAATGTTTGTTGAATGAATGAATTTGTGGTGGATGGTTATTCTGCTGTCAGCTCAAAGTTAGCATATTTAGAATTGAGTTTATCTGCTTTCCCAAAACAGATCTTCTTCCTGACTTCTATCAGTTTGTGTCTTCCAGGCTTCAAACCGGCCAGTAGTAGTCTTTGATGTTTCTTTTTTTCTTCCTGACTGGGAGGAAATGTCTAAAGTATTCTCCCTAGATAAAATGGGGAAGATAGTTGAAAGTAGGCATTGAGGATGCACAAAACATTTGTTGAGCACCTTTTCTTGCCAGTGGTAGTCCTAGGGATGTAAAGATGACTTAGTTTCTTTTTACTGAAAGTTCACAGTCCAATGAGGGACTGAGTCATATAAATAAACGATTAATACAGTGTAATAAATGTAGCAGTAACGGTATGTCTAACTTACAGAGATAGCACAGAGGAGGAGTAAATAACTTTGTTGTATGTGGTAGTTGTTAAGGAGGAGGTAAAGTTTGATCTGAGTTTTGAAAAATTAATAGAAATTCACCAAGTAGCTGGAGGTGAAAGAATGTCTTCTTAGATAAAGGGAATAGCATGTACAAGTTATGGACATGTTTATGGAAGATGCTTTTTATAATATTGGAGTAGAAGTAGGGATAGATAAGTTTGAAAGCAAGAAATTCCTTTTTTTTAAAAAAATAAAGATGTTAGGTAATCAAGATCAGAATAAGAGTAATGGCTCTGTCCATAGAGAGGAAGGGACAGGCTTTTTGCTGGTTGGTTGTATATTGAAGAGAGATACTTTGATTTGTTCAGTGACTTCTTGAACATAAATTGTTTTAATGGTTCCCAGCATTAAAAAATGGGTCTTACCTAGACCTGCGAGTACCTTGGAATTGCTACCATCATATTTAAAGGTTAG